CAACAGACTATTATTATGTTCTATTTAAAGTGACGCAGATATTTGTAGGATGATCATTTATACTAAATCCTATTAGGTAGTACAAGTATGATTAAGGCGAGAAGCAACTTGGAAGAACCGGACATCTATAAAACACTAGAAGTATTAGTCTTTAAAATATATCTTGCATAGAAGGATGTTCTACTCACGATCACTATTCTTGTATCTCCTCTGAGTTTTGTTTATTCTGAAGACGAAAGGGGACAAATGGCAGACCAAAGAACAGCTTGTTCTATGAATAGGAAGCAGAGGCCAAAAGAATGGATGTGACTTGCGAACAAGTGATATGATAGTCCACATTGGAGCAGGTTGGATAATGGTAATTTCAAGTAAGTTTCCATTGTTTTGTGTTTGTGAATCACGATATACTTTTAAGATGCTAAAGAAAGTGTTTTTACAATCATGATATTCAGCATATTTGTGCTACCACGTTTGAATCACACAAGAATAATAAATTTTTTATTTGGAAAAAGTTCTGATTGCTTTTGGTGAACACCTCATGTTGTGCATGCGACTTGAATGAAGACTAATGTATGTACTGATAATGATACAATTAAATTATTTACATTGATAGTTTTGGGATTTGATTATTCATCTTGAATCCATCTTTGTGAATTGTAACTTGTTTTTCATCTGTCTGAGTGATTTATTACTTGTTATTGTATTAAGTCTATCTACCCCAATAGAGTAAGTTAAGTTTTTGATTGAGATCACAAACCGATTGATGTTAGGCCACCGTTGGAAACCTGAAAGCACTGGACGGCCGTTTCGTTCTATTGTGGGACTCATCGGCAGTTCGCATCCACGATCCCGCTCGCGGGATTCGAACACAGGGCTTTCAGTCTCGCGCGCGAACGCTTAGCCTACTGGACCACTGAGCCAACATCCATTGGTGATAGTGTAAGTTAAACCGATCATACTTACATGATCTGAAATACTCATCATTCTTTATCTCAATTTTGATAAATCATCAAAGAAGATACAAGCTGACGATGAAAAGTTGTCATATTGGATTAAAAACTTTATAAAAATCAAATGAGATATTTTTGTTTCCAGCTTATAATATTAAAATAGGCTCAAATGAACATCTTATTTGTATATTTATTCCCTAAGGCATAACTTTATTTCCATTATGATTGTAAGTTAGATTTTAATTAACCTCAGTCTATTCCATCTAATTATTTGACATCGTTTTTGTTACTTTCGATAATGTCTATCATCATTTCACCTGGTTCTCGAAACGCTATGACCTTACTTTAGGGAATCTGTAGATATAATGGAATTTTATAATTTACCTTATCATTATTATTATTATTGATGGCTTTATTCAATATTATATTTTTGGTATAATATAAAATTCCTAGCATAAAGTATTTCGAAAAGCTCCCTTTTCTTATTTCTTGATCTAACCTGACGATAAATATCGAGGGATCTCCAGTTGGATTTTAGCAGTTCAGGAATAGACATCTGAATAATGTTCATTCTTTTCAATACATACTGCCAGTCACCACGATATCACTGATTGCATTTTCCGTACATTGTACAACACAAAGGTCGTAAACTTTTCATAAACGCGTCTGAATAGGTTATGCAGTTAACAGACATAATGATGTGTTAAAACAAACAAAAACAGGTAACTTGTTGAAATATGTAGGTAGTAAGAATAAATAGCTCAGATATTCAAGCAAGCCATCGTCTTAATAGTTTAAAGCTTGAACACTCGTTGTGAAACCTGAAAGTACTATGTTTAATCGTCGGTGGGAGGCAGTGGAAGTGCACTGTTGAAGAGTCCCATACTGGAAAGAAACAAATATTCAATGTTTCTCGGTCTATATGTTATGACTTTCATTGATGACCATTCATTTCACTAGGGTCATTTCCTATATGAGTAGTTATTTATGTGTTTATTAATATAGCTACTCTTCAGATTTTAGTTATGTTCATGTTTTGCAAAGTATTCGCTATGTCTGTGCTAATCCATTTTCATTACTGTTCAATTTTAAAATGTATGACTATCAGAAGGAGTTTTTGTGGATATCATAGTAAATTCAATAGTTGAGATCATTAGTCAGTTGATTCAGTTTATATATTTCAATTCATTATTTTAATTATATGAGAATTGTGTAAAATATTGTTTAATAATCAGTGACCAATGAAGTTCAACCAGGTCTGTTCTAAGATAGTAACTCGCTAAAGACAATGGTGAACGGTGTCGCTCAATGTCGTAGATTAGTTGAAGTTAGACATTAAAACTGTTGGATTGCCGGCTCAGTGGTCTAGAGGTTAAGCGTCCGCGCGCATGACCGATAAGTCTTACGTTCGAATCTCGCGAGGACGAAACGGCCGTCCAATGCTTCCAGGTTTTCCATAGTGATCTAGCTTAAATTGACTCATGATCTCAACTATTGAAATTAAAAATATATTGTTTGGTAAGTATTATTAACAGTTACTAGTGTTGATCATAATTATTTATTAGTATATAATCTACTATAAGTTAGATTTATTTTGCATGTATAAATAGCGTTCAATATTCAAGTTTGTGGAATAAATTTCCCTCAAAACTGTAAAAAATTCCCGTCACATTCAAATGCTGGTAGACGAACAAAGAACTTCTTTGTTCTACAAATATATATGTAAATCAATAATTTAAAAAAGTAAACAGGCATTAAGCCAAATGGATCGTCTAAAATTATAACACGTGGGTTTAAGATTATTTATGAAGTAGAATAAAATTATTTATTACCAGTTTTCGACTGAGATCATGAACCGACTGGTGTTAGACCACCATTGAAAACCTGGAAGCACTGGAAGGGCGTTTCGCCCTATTGTGGGACTCCTCAGTAATTCGCATCCACGATCCCGCTCGCAGGATTCAAACCCAGGACCTTAAGTCTCGCTCGCGAACACTTAACCTACTGGACTATTATGTAATATCGACTTGAATATATTTGTACATTAAATGAAGCTGTGAGATTAGTAATGAGAATAAATGTAAGTAACATGGAGTGATAAAGAACTAATATTAGTGTAATAGAAGGAATCAAATGTTATCTGAGAGACTATGTAGTGTATGAAGTGATATGAATAACTTTGATTTTAGAAGATATAAAAGGGGAAGGGTTGTATTTACTCAAATTAGTTTATTCAGTAATTAGCATAACTTTTGACTTACTGAGCTTGAGATTGACCATGGTGAGCGATGAAGTTTGTTGTTTTCCACATATAGCTTCAGCTTTTTATCAAAATCGTGAATGCTTCTGATTTTTGGAGGACTGATCGACTTTGCGAAAGAAATTGATAGCCAGATAAACTATGAAGATTGATCGATTTGTCCAAGCGATCGATTCGACCAATTTAGACTAAACCGGATAATGTTGAGTCATTTATTCTCTTGACTACACCTTTGCTTAACCACTATAGAAATTGTTTGCGAGCACGAAAATAAGAATCCCTAGAACCTCTGCCAATGTGATTTGCTCCACAAGAACAGTTGAATTTACAAATACAACACGAAGTGGTTATTTTGCGTATTTCATCCCTTGGTCTCAGTGTCACCATCGAGTTAATAGAAAACACGGTTCAAAATTTTCCAACATGTAATGCTCTCTTGACTTTTCTACATAAAGCATGGATTACAATTTCACTAGCTCCATTCCCTGTGGATTGCAAGGGCATGAATAAAGATTTCTTAATCACTGTTTGCACTTCACCTCTTCTAGCTTTCATAAATAGAAATTTATTTATAAAATTCACGTGATTAATTTATCTAACACTCAATCTTCTTTATCATTTCTTACTGAATTCATATCACTTCATACACTACATAGTCTCTCAGATAACATTTGATTCCTTCTATTACACTAATATTAGTTCTTTATCACTCCATGTTACTTACATTTATTCTCATTACTAATCTCACAGCTTCATTTAATGTACAAATATATTCAAGTCGATATTACATAATAGTCCAGTAGGTTAAGTGTTCGCGAGCGAGACTTAAGGTCCTGGGTTTGAATCCTGCGAGCGGGATCGTGGATGCGAATTACTGAGGAGTCCCACAATAGGGCGAAACGCCCTTCCAGTGCTTCCAGGTTTTCAATGGTGGTCTAACACCAGTCGGTTCATGATCTCAGTCGAAAACTGGTAATAAATAATTTTATTCTACTTCATAAATAATCTTAAACCCACGTGTTATAATTTTAGACGATCCATTTGGCTTAATAACTGTTTACTTATATTATCTAAAAATAGAGCGAATTCAGTGGAAAAAATTACTTTTCGACGAAATCATTCACTTGAGTTGTACCTTCGTATTCATAGTTATTGCTTTCGATAATGTAATAAGAAGACGAAGGTGATCAGAACTATGTGATATATTAGCGAAATACATTTCGAAAAATCTGATCACACACATAATGTACTTGTTAAGAACATTTATATATAAAAATAAAAGGTTAACTAGACTAGAAATGGGGGGGGATAATAGGAGACAAGAATAATAATAAGAGTAATAATAATAATGTGAACATAATTTATGCGAATATTCGTCAAGATTAGAACGAATAGTTTGACAGAAATTGGGCGCCGAGTAAAAAGAAGTCATTATATGTGAAATTTATATTTGAAATAATCTCAGCGATTGAAATTTAAATAATTCCGAAGTTTCATCCACCTAACTTGTCTGGACTTCTTCAGGGTAATAATCAAAATCAAAGTCATCAAAGATGATTATTTCAAATATAATTTTCACATATAATGTGAACATAATTTGAAGCCTAATCACTTTGGATAATAAGTCGATAGTACCAGGGTAGGTTTAAGGTAAGAACAAACTGTTCTGAATACACAAAGGGAGTTTTAATTTTCGTATGGCTAAGGCTTCAATAAACCTTAGTATACTCCATTTTACACTTTTATACAACACCACAAAAGCCGAGTTATGATAATTTAATAGCCTGCTTCGATTATATGTTTAGCAATAAAGGATGATGGATGTTTATCCTCTGCTCTTATTAGGTGCCTTGATTGTGTTTGTTTCTGCGACCATTTTGGTATATGTTCACACATCCTAATTTTGAGACCACGATTGTTCCTCCCTATGCATGTGTGACCACACACACATTTAAACTGATAAACACAGTGGGATGTGACACAATCGTTTTCATGTCTTTTAGGTTCTGGATGAAGCATGAACCTTGTTCTTTCTTTGATAATGACCTTTGATGCGCAATATGTTTTGTTGATGACTGATATTAGCCTTTGTTTTTAATAAAAGGCTAGTTGAATCACCTCTGAATGGTAAGGTGATGTAGACAGGCTTTTTTTCTACCAAGGCTACAGTAGGTCTCACTGTACCATGGACTTCCCATCTACTTATGAATTTCAGAGGATAGCCATTTTCCATTAATGTTTTATTTAACAACTTAACATCATCATCAATGGCATCATTTGTACAAATACTATCAAGCCTGTTGAATAGGAACCTTATCAAACTACGTTTGTATTGTACAGGGCAATAACTATAATAACTAAAGTCCATGTTGATTTTCTAAAAATGGATCGTTTGACTGAGCCATCTTCTCATCTACTCGTCTACTTTTATTTATATATATAAATGCTCTTAACAAGTATATGTGTGTGATCAGATTGTTCGAAATGTTGTACTGAGCTAATATATCATATAGTTCTTATTACATTATAGAAATGATAACATCATAAACTGATTCGATACTTCTATTATTCGATAAGATTACACAACAATCAAAGGGTAAAAAAAGGAATATGAAGATGGAAATAATTTATAAGTCTATACGATTGACAGATCTAGAGAAGAGCAAAAAAGAAAATAACCCATAAAGGTCATAATAATAAAAACTAATGGGTTGAAGTTATCAATTTGATACGCATCTTTCTTTGACCCTAATTTCCTTCTTTTTTATTATGTTTTCTTGTTCATTCATTATTATTGATTTTTCTAAATTAATGTCTTTGTAATTCTAAACAGTAATCAGTTATTATTACCCTTTAAAAAATTTTCATGATTATTACGCAGTTTTTTTTATGATTATGACCTTCATGTTTTTCTTTCTTTTTTTTGGGGGGAGGGGTTCTTCAAATATATCAATCGGATAGATCCATAAATTATTTCCATCCAGATATGTTCTTCTCTTACCCCTTGATTATTGTGTAACTTTATCTAATAATAGAAGTATCGAATCAATTTATGATGTAATCTTTTTGATTGAAATCATGAGTCGATTGAAGCTAGACCACCATGGAAAACCTGGAAGCGCTGGACGGTCGTTTCGTCCTAGTATGGGACTCCTCAGCAGTGCGCACCCACGATCCCACACCCTGCGAGATTCGAGCCCAGGACCTATCAGTCTCGCACCAGGCGTTTAACCAACTAGACCACTGAACTGGCATCCAATGGCGTTAATGTCTAACCTCAATCAATCCACGAAATTACGCGACCATCCTCCATTTTACTGAGGTAGACACCTGTTTCTACCCGACACGGATTAGCTCCACTGATGTAATCATTCCTATCCTTCTATAGATATATATTTTCCATATAACTATAAATACGAATGTACAGTGAATGATTTCATCGAAAGAAAAGTTTTTTTTCATTGAATTCTGTTTATTTTCATTCAAGAACACAGTAGGTTACTTTATTTATGTTACATATTATAGTTTAATTAGTCAGATTTATCTTTTGTTCTATTTGATAACAAGAAAATCAATCAGCCACTGAACTAATAATAGTAACAAATCGATAGTTCCTGGGTTCGAATCCTGCGAACGGGATCGTGGGTGCGCACTGCTGAAGAGGACGAAACGGTCGCTCGATGCTAATACATCACTAAAATCTCCACAAAACCTCCTTCTGGCATTAATGTCAGTGTAGAAAATCCTGGTTGATTAGTATTCGTAATTCAGGTGTTTGTATAGCGACCATTTTGATAGTTTGTTTATCTGATCTCTTCAAAATATTTCTCAATGATCATTTAGTTAGTTTTTTTCTTCAGATCAATATATGAATGTGTAAGATATGTATACTAGATTCACTTAGTGTTTGTTTTAATTGTATCTTCCAGTTGTTACTTAGGACTGCGATTGATCAGTTTCATGTTGGCATATGTGCATCCTGTGCGGATCGCATCAATATAGCTTTGAGTCACAAGCTTTTTAATCAAAGATCGATAATAGCTACCAGTGGAATCCAGTTTGATGCTTGTTTCATCCTATTTGGGACTCGTCAGGAGGATGTACCTGCACCGCAGAGTTGATGTTCACACCAGGACTCGAACCCAGTTTACTAGACCCTATAAATCTGAATGTTTCTTCATGTATTCTTCTTAACTGTCGTGAGTTATTTTTGACTAATTTATCATCCATGAACTTATAAAAGAATATAAGTGTAAAATGGTGTATTATGACATTCAACAATATTTAGCTTCTGTAAATAATCTAAAAACTTGATACTACATTACAGAAACTATTATTACATTTAGAAGTAAATAAGTATTGAACGTGTGACATTGAAAAGTCTTGAGAAGATATTTCTTATTCTAAGTGGTCCTTCACATATTACATATATGATTTTAACAATAAAGGAAGACTGTTTTTATGAAAATGTAGTAAAATAAAGCTTTAATGTATGAAAGTTAGATGAACTGAACTAGTTAGTTTCAGTTTATGTTTTTCAATCTGACAAATATAAGTAATCGTACAGTGGGTTTTATGGAAAGTGATGAATGTTTGCAGTTTAAAATTGCAAATTATTCATAGTCAGACAATCCTTCAAAACTAACACATACTGGACAATTGTTTCATTGTGGTATGAAACTCATCAACAGTGTGTACATACCATCCATATTATGATAAAATCGGTATCCAGTGATTCTTGGTTTTCACTTATTATCTAATTAACATCAATCCTTGATGTAAATGAAAGAAAAAACCCAAGTATAACATAGATTTTCTGTTTAAGTTTAAAATGAAATATCTACGTTTCTTTAAGAGTCCAATTCGTTATCTACACAAAAAAGATTTCACTATTGCTAAAAAAACTCGTTATGTGTCTCCCTTTTTTTCTTTCTTTCTCTCAAATAATCGGTTTTTTGAAGCCATTTTGTAAAACGTAAATTTCACGAGACTCACTGACTGAGGTTAGACACTAACACCGTTGGATGCCAGATCAGTGGTCTAGAGGTTAAGCGTTCGCGCGCGAAACTAAAGGCCTTGGGTTCGAATTCCATGAGCAGGATCGTGGATGCACATTGCCGAGGAGTCCCACAATAGGACGTATTGGCTGTCCAGTGCTTCCAGATATTCAATAGTGATCTAAAATCAATGGGTTCACGATATCAATCAAAAGTTGTAGTTATTTCAGTAGTTGAGATCATGAGTCAGTTGAAGCTAGACCACGATGTAAAATCTGGAATCATTGGCCGTTTTGTCCTATTGTGAAACTCTTCAGTACCATCCATCCACAATCTCGCCTTGCGACATTCTAACCCAGGATCTATGAATCTCGTACACGTGCGCTTAACCACTAGACCACTGAGCAGTCATTCAACAGTGTCAATGTCTAACTTCAACTAATCCACGAAATTGAGCGACACCTTTCACCATTGTCTTCAGTGAGTTACTATCTCACAACAGACTCGGTTGAACTTCACTGTTCACTACTTCTCACCAGAACTCCAGAATGTACATCATGAAGCCAGTCACTAGTGAGCATATGCTGATTAATATCAGGAGGGGTTTTTTCAATTTAAAATTATTTAAAATAGCATTCAGAAAATTAAGTTAAAATAACTATATTTCATGCAAAACTTTAAACAATACATTAGTCAATGTATAATATATATTTATATACGTATAACAACATAACAATTATATTGTCCTCTCTAACAGTAGAACTATTCCATTGAATTCATAAGACATAAGACCACATTTAACACATATTGAATTGAATGTTACTATAAACTATAAACGACAATTTCTCATTTAGTATTATTCATAAAACATATCACCAACATTATGAATTGAAATGATCGAAAGTAGAAGAAAAGAAAAGAAAAACAAAACAAAGAAAAATAAACATAATTCAGTATACCAAATGGTTTCGAGCATTCAAAATAAAGTCTAAATAATAATTTACATTTAAGATAGGCGCTTATATTAAATAATAAATGAGAAATTTGGATTAATTCATATCCATAAAACAATTTTATGAGAACATAATAATCACGTTTAGGTATATAGTTGCACACAAAAGAAAAATAAAAGGTAAGTATAGGAAAATATGAAGTTCAACAGTACTGTCCATTAGCATTGGTTTATTATGACAGTTATGAATGTGTTTAGTTAATGATAATTAAACCATAGTTAAATTCAATGAGTAATTTCCTTCATTTTTTTCGTTTGTTTTTGTTTGTTTTTATTTTGGTTTAATTGAATTTATTCTTCACCATCTAAAATATAAGAAAGAAAGAATACAATGTATATATATATAGTTAGATAATGTGCCCTCATGGGGTAGAGTAATTTTACATTGGTTTTCAGGAGATCTAGACACCATCCAGACTTTCAGGTGACAATACAAACAGTACAACTCAATCCCGTTTAACAGGAGAACCAGACACCGTATAGACTTTAACTCTATAATCTGAATAGTACAGCTTAATCCTGTGGCACAATCACCTAGGTACCAATCACTCTAGTAGACCCTATCTTTCGAATTAACTGATTATATTGTAAAGTTTCTTTAGTTTTTCTAAATAATATAGTTGAAAAACAATCAGTGCGTAATTTAAGAATTTCCATAGTAATCTTGTTTTATCAAGATGAAAGGGAGGGTTTAGAAAAAGTTGGACTGAAAAGTAGTATACCTTATCTTTTCTTCCCTCTGATGGAATACTTTCTTCCAGAGATAATGTGGTATGTGCTACTGATATCGATATGAGTAGTATATAACGATAGTCAGGATTAGAATTTCCGGCAGTAGAAGGTCGTGAAGGAAAGAACGGGAACAGAAAGCAATTAGTATGAAAATGCAGGAACAATGAAATGTGAGACGGTTGATTCATCTGTGCAAAAGGAACAGTAAGTTTTGTGACAATTAAGTATTCACTGTATGGTTCTCAGATTTTTACTAAGACGTTTTGTAATTTTGTGTTCAAATACATTTGATTATCCTCACTTCTGTTCTCGTTCACTACAACAAAACCTTAAAAGTATTAGGTGAACAGATTAGAAACTACCTACGAAAATGCCATGTATATTCGACCTCAAGCAGTTGTTTCTAGGTCATTGTAGCTATGCTCCCGAGCTTTCAAGATCACTGCTGTTCCGATTTCAGCTTCAGGCACTCTAAAGAGTAGTATTTTGTCACGGTAATAGTACTCAGAATACAACAGCCGATCACACATCTCTAACAGCACTTGAATTAGCCTTGTTATTGATCGTATCCATCTGTTACTTTCCAACATTTCGTCTATTCCCATTATGGATTCTCTTATGACTTCATCTTTATCTCAATACTCCATCTACATTAAAGATTAGAGTTCATGAACTGATTTCTTGATTATTTGCCTAACAAACTATAATTCTCAGAGAACTCTCACTGAACTACAATTATTCTCTCTCGTATAAGTCTTTCAAAATCATTAAAGACAATACTATTCTTTTAAATATATACACCATGGTCTATATAACCTCATCTTGAAATTAAAGTTAAATTATTGATAACATATTTCCAAAGCCTACACTTCTGAAATAAATTAAGAATTGAACTTTTAGTAAAAAAAAACAAAAATGAAACTATGAAATGTAATAACATTAGAAAAACAAACAAACAAATGCAGTTACATTTGATGAAGCTACTACTGTTTCAATAATGAATCGATTCATATAAACTTCATACTTAATGCATTAGTTTATAGGGTAGAACAGAACGAAAACACCTCATATATTGTATTCACAAATACAGTCTATGTAAAAGTATTTCTATCATGGTAAAATAATACATATATATTGTTTTCTGTTATAGAAAAGTTATATTTCTGACGTTTCGTAACTTAATATAAGCTGCTTCTTCAAAGTAAATAATGGCGGAATCGAATAAATATAAGTTTAAATAGTACAAAGGGAACAATGAAGAATATTTTTGATATAATCAATCATAATAAATCTGAATTTGTCAATGTCAAGTTATTCTTGATCAAAATGAATTTACATGACCAGTGGAAAATAAATAATCTACATACACACTTAATATCAACCCCGTTATTTGATATTACAATTGTATACATTTTGACATAATAATGAAAATAAATGTAAATTGGCTGGTTAAAAGTAAGTGATTTCTATAATTAAGTGTTAAACATCTAATATTAACTATAAGTAAAACTGAGAGACTAATATTTTAGTGACTATAGTTGATGAGTATTATATCTACAACTTACCCTATCAGTTATAATCCAATTAATGAATAATAAAGAAATTAGATAAAGTGGATTGATTAGTAAAGCAGGCAAAAAGTACATTTCAATTACAACTTTTCCTAACAACAAAAAAAAACCTTCATCACTTAAATAATTATCCACCTCATACAATTGATGAAGGGTTGCGTAAGATTATAGATTGGTTGAAGTTAGATATTAACACCGTTGGATGCCGGTTCAGTGGTCTAGAGGTTAGGCGTTTGCGAGCGAAACCGAAGGTCTCGGGTTCGGACCCCGTGCGTGGGATCGTGGATGTGCACTGCTGGGGAGTTCCATACTTAGGCGAAACGACCCTCTAGTGGTTCCAAGTTTCCAATGGTGATCTTGTTTAGATGGACTCCTGAAGTCAACTATTACTATGATTTTCACAAACCCCTATACTGAGTTAAAAATAATTCACAGTTAAAACAAGAAATAGACAGAGATTTCCAAACCAGCCTAGTAAAAAAATATTAAACTAATGAAATCAATGAATGATTTAGGTATGATTTATTATTCACTAAAGTTTTATTTTAGTTTTCTACTACATTCAATAAAAATATAGTAGAAAGCAATTATGTATATTCAGTATTATTTCATTGTTACTCGTTCTATGCATACAGGTTAAATAACCGTAGATAAAGGTGATTTTGAAGGATACAAATGAAGAATTTGAAAATTATTATCTTTATTCAAGATTTATTTGTAATTTGAGTAGTACTGTGATGTGTACTACCAATGTCGATAGATATAAGTAGTATATATCATTAGTCGGAAGTGAAATACCTGGCAGCAGAAGGTTAAGATCAAAGAAAAGAGAATGCGAACAAGAAATGGTTAGCGTGGAAACGAAAGAACAATGAGATGATTGACTGATATTTGCAAAAGGAACAGTCAAGTTTGAGACAATTGATTGATATTTTACAAATGAAGTATTTACTGTATAGTTCTCAGATTTTACTAAGATGTTCGGTAATTTTGTGTTCAAATACATTTAATTAACCTTACTTGTGTTCTCGTTCACTACAGTACTTAATGCATTCAATAATTAAACAAACTAATGTCATTTTATTTCATGATATTTATGTAATAACAACCTTGTCCTCTTCAAAATATTCTATTGTTATGTTAATGCATCTGTCTTATCTCTGTAATCATAATTTAGATTATCCCTAAAGGTCATCCAAAATCACATACTTCAGTAACCTTAACTATTTCCTTCTTATCCTCTTCATATCAGTCTACTTCTACACGTGAATGATAATTCCATGTTTAAGGAAAGAAATGAAATCAAATAAGACTATATCTAGTTAGTAGGTAAGGTATGTTAGTGTGGTTATTGAATTAACTCTCTTAACTTTACGACTAACAACATTCTGTTAGTTAGTTACATTATTCTAGTGTAGTGGCCATTAATCATGATTACAGAAATTTTAGTGGGACGTAAATTAAAATAATTCGTCCTGAAACAGAAAAAGTGATGACAATAAAACAGGAAAGTAAGTAAAATAAACTGAGCTGCACACAATTACAAGGTACAACAAAACTAATTAATTAGGGATTATAGTCATTTCTGCAAAGAAATCTTAATGATCATTGATTAGAAGTTATATAATGTCAGGACGCTAGGATTAGATTAACTGTTGGGTGGTAAACAATGAAACATTGTGCAATTGAACATTTGTTTTGATATATCTTTAACTAATAATCTATATAACCCATTGGACCTATTTGTTGTACAGATAATGTAAAGTTTTCATTTGACTATTTGTTTCCATTTTTGCTATGACAATAATGTAACAAATTATACACCAGTTTATCATGACTACTGACTTCAAAGAGTTGGTTTGTGTCTCTTAACTTGATGTATATTACAATATAGGTCCTTTTTCTAATGCCCAGTTTGTTTTTGTTTATAATATAATATTACTTATACATTTCTCTACTACAAATTACAATTCAAACATTGAATATCAACGATCACCCTAGTGTAGCACTTATAGTCTGATTCATGACTGCATATTTTGTGTATTTTTACTTAAAGTAATTAAAAAAAGTAGACTTATAAAGTAAATGTACGTTATTTTTAAAAAAAGACAAAAGAGATAGCTGCTTATTGTTTACTAGTTAACTTTTTGAAAAGTGAATCGCCAAATTTATATGTAAAAACATTCTAGTTTAAGTACAACATCTTCTATGAAAAAGATGCATGATTCCAATAATTCTGTTATAAATATAACAGAATTATAAAAGAATTATTATATTTATGCCTCCAAATGCCCTGGTACGGGGGAGGGTGAAGAGATTCATCTCTCCCTCTCAAAATGCTCTCATATGGCCATGCGTATACAGCCACTCCCAAGGAAGTCCCACTCACTACATTATCGCAGCATTACTGTTGTTTACGAAATTAATAGAACGAAAAGCAAATGTTCGGCGCTTTAACCGGGTCGGTGGACATGGAGGATCCACCTACGGGAGTCGGAAAAGCCTAATTCCAAACTAGTGATCCACATGGGCTACAGGATCCTGAAGGAACAAATGGTGTATGAACCAATTGTTGGTCACTGGCTACCATGGGACTAACTTTGCTCCACTGCCTTGTGGATTAGACCTTTAGGTCAAATGCTACCGGTGTGGTCTCTTAAGATAACCACCTGCTTCGGTCTGGGCACTCGGGTAGTATCATAGCCCACACACACATGAAGTGAATTTTTAAAAGGAAGAAATTCATCTATATAACCATTGCTCTTTATGTATAAATTGCTTATTGAACTTGTCAGTAATTTCATTTGTCAAAGCAATTATTCATGGAAGATAAGTTAATATTCTGAATAAAAGTAATTTTTTCGATTGATAAGATAATAAATTATAAAATACAAGATGTGTATGAGTGAATTTGAAGTTTATCCGATTTCAGTGTTTGATTTATGATAGGTATCATGCATTTTCAGTCATTTTTCCGTTTATTTAATCAGAGGGCACTGCATGTAAAGGAATTATTCTAACTGAGGATTCTATTTCAAGCTCAAATTTTTATGTTATCTACTTTTTTTCATCCATATTACGGTGATTTACAGTGATGACATGATGAAAGACATATTTGTTAGATAGCTTTAAACGATTAAAATGAAATCCTCAGTGTAAAGTATGCTCTTGTATTCAATATTCATCATTTGAATGAACCTAAGAATACTTGAAAACACGTGATATGGTACTTTTACCGAACATTCATTAAAGAATGATTAACTTCACACTACCAGAAGATACTGGTGTTTCGTGAATAAAACTGACAATAAATGTATGCAGAACAACTGTAAAAGATCTGATTTTCGATAAAAGATTAAGTGGTGAGATTCTAAGTAATGGCTACATTTTATTCTATAAACGAAAGTTATCCTAACTATAAATGTATTATTTGAAAATTGGGACAAATTTTATATGAAAGAAATTTTCGACTAAAATGTGTAATATAACTTGACTTTCGATATGTCGCTGCTATGAATCGATGAGTGAATAGGTGGTCAATCATTTGTAAATGTATCTCAGTCTTGTAAGAGTTCAATCTCGGTACAACTAGCTTCAAGATAAATTGTCTAACTATGAAGCTAAGTGACACGGAATTTAATTCGTAAAAAAGTATCATCTTGAAAATTACAAATACATCTTCCGGACAAGTGCCAAATATCATGAAACCTAATCTAAGGGTTTCTTATTGACGACCTTTAACCACCACTTTACAGATATTACCTAAAAATAAAAGCATATCACTATATCAAGGATGGATAGTGGCTAGAAGTGAAATCCGGTTTGACGCGCGTTTCGTCCTATTTGGGACTCGTCAGCTTCATGTACCTGCATCTCAGAGTTGATGTTCACTCTTGGACTCGAACCCAGTACTGTTAGCTTCGAACGCCATCGTGTTATCCATATTTGCTTAAAAAGCACGTGACTTAAGGCTATATCGATGCAATCCGCACAGGATGTACATATGCCAACATGAGACTGATCAATTGCAGTCTTAAATAACAATGGAAAGATACAAGTAAAACAACACCAAGCGAATTTATATCACTCTATATCTATCATAAACTCTGAATAGATCTAAACGTTTCGTTTTAATACTGATAAACTACTATTTGATTATTGTTTTCTCATACATAAATCTATTAAGTGAATGCTTATAAAGCATTTGAAATTATCTATAAATGCAAGATAAGGTTTATTTCTTATATGATACATTTAGCAATGCTTAAACCATTACAATTTTAGGCAACAAAAAGAAATCCACTTTCATCAATCAACATAATATAATCTAATCTTGTGAAAGAAAAGGATTAATTCTAAACTATGCAGATGTTAGATTAATTCTTTTACATTAGTAAAAAGATTCAAACCAGATGACAGATTGAGAAAATTACTCAAATAAATGTAAATTGTTCTTAGAGAAAATTGTTCAGACATCAAATGTAACTTGAACAATTAAGACTGTTTTGTTTTTTTCTTAGACAAACCATTAAAATGCAATCAATAAATGTAAAGTACATTATTCAATTAGAAAAAAATTAAACATTCCAAAAATCTTTTATAGTTGAATTCATACGTCCATTGAAGCTAAACCACCATGGAATTCCTAGAAGCACTAAATGGTAATTTCGTGTTAGTATGGGACTCCTCAACAGTGCATATCGACAATCCTAGTTTAAATGATGAATTGATCATAACTAGACAACCACTAAAATCTAGTAAGCACTAGACAAACTATTTAGTCCTAGTATGAAAAACTTTAACAATGCACAACCACAATCCTCTCATATGAAATCAAACCTAGAAACTATGATTTTATACATGAACGTTTATTCTCTTAACCACTGACGCAGTATCCAACGACGTTAATCAATGTGTGATTATTCAAATAGTAATCGATCAACTATAACTTACTTCTATAATCTCTTTCAATAACAACTATAGGTGAAACAAATAAGATAAAAAAATATTTGGAAAAATACATATTTATTTATTGAAATAAAAATATGAATGAATAAAAAGTAATTTCACTGGTTGAAATCATGAGTCAAATGAAGCTAGACCACCATGGAAAACCTGGAAGCACTGGACGATTGTTTCGTCCTAGTATAGGACTCCTCAGCAGTGCTTCCAGTTGTTTCCATGGTGGTCTAGCTTCAACTGACTCATGATTTCAACCAGTGAAATTTCTAAAATCTCCACAAAATCCATTCTGAAAAAGTAATTTGTAATAAAGTGTTGAAAATAAAAATTAAAAAAAAAATTAGTATGAATTAACCATTGTTAACACACACGCACACACATACACGCAAAACACATTTTATTACACACACTTTCAGAAACAAGGTAATAATGAGCGTTCGTAAATTTATTTTTTCAGTAATTTTTTTGTTTTTAATGAGCAGTTAGGAAACGTTTTTTTATTATTTTTTTTTAAAAACAAAACTACGTAAACACTTGATTCAATCGAATTTAAGAAAATATGCGTAGTACTGAATCAATAGTTAGTCACTAATCAATCTATTGAATTAATAATAAGATTTAAATGAAGAGATTGATGTCCGTTTGTTGTTGTTGTTTTGTTTGTTTTTTTAGTACTCATAAAATAGTTTATCTTACCCCACTCAAGTTGTTTCACATTCTCGAAATATACCCTAAATGATGTAGTTAATATTAATGTTTTGTTGATGTTATTGTTGTTGTTGTTAGAATGTTTAGTTTTAGTACTAAATTATTCATTAAAAATGATTGTTTTTATTTCTATTTAATTAATCAGTTGGATAATTGAATATAATGCTGAATTGTAGTGACTGATTATATAAGTACGATATTATTATAATTTAAGACGACTAAATTATTGTAGACTTATAAGCAAAGATGGATAGTGGCTAGAAGTGAAATTTAGGACGCACGTTTCGTCCTATCTAGGACTCGTCAGTTGGATGTACCTGCATCTCAGAGTTGATGTTCACCCTGAGACTCGAACTCAGTAATGTTCGCTTCAAATGTTATCGCGTTATCCACTTATCCACTGAGTCTCAGAGTGAACATCAACTCTGAGATGCAGGTACGTGAAGCTTACAAGTCCCAAATAGGACGAAACGCGCGTCAAACTGGATTCCACTGCTAGCAACTATCCATTTTTGCACATAATGTTTGTGACTTAGGGTAATATGCACATATACTAATAAGAGACTGATCAATTGCATTCTTGAACGTCAATTGGAAGATCCAAGTAAACAATACTGTAGGTCACCAACGTAGATGATCTATGTCGAAATGATTGGAGGCCTACTCGAGTTAGACGTGAATGTTGTGACAAACTAGCTAACGTCGAAGTCACACCTCATTGTCAGCACCTTACGTGGACTACCCCAATGACGTATCAAGGTAGGGCTTAGTGACATTTCGCTGGCCCTACAATACCAAGTAAATTTATTGTATACTTAATTTTCAAATGAAATGTTTGTTCATGTTATATAACGATATGGTAAACTTCATTCTTCATTTAATTGGATTGATTAACAATATTTATGAACAAAATATGGAAAATATTAAACTTGAGAAACAAGAATAAGCTGATCTATCATTACGATTTTTCTCTTTCAATAATCTGTCTATCAAACAAGCTCTAGGAATTGTGGTTCAAAGTTTTTCACGGCTACATTACTTCACAATGTTTATATTAATTTTAGTTTCAAGATGCATAGTTACTAGCTAATCAATTATTTTAAGGTTTGTCAGGAATCATTGCGAAATTAAGTGAAAAATAACCGTTTCATAAAGAATAATGGTGCACATGGGCTCCAGTATCCTGTGGGAACAAATGGCGTATGGACCAATCGTTGACCACCGGCTACCATGGGAATGCATCTCCTTACGTTGCTCCACTGCCTTGTGGATCAGACCTTCAGGTCGCAGGCTCGGGGAGTGGCCCCCTGAGAAAACCACCTGCTTCGGTTTGGGCACCCGGGTAGTATCACAGCCCTCACACACATCGAATGAAATTTGTGTGGCGCATATTTATTTGGTGCCTCCTTGTACCAATATCTATGTGTTAAAATAAAATAAATAAATAATAAATACATAAAGAAGAATAATTGTGAACCAATAAAAAGAAAAAAAATATTAAACTTACTATTATGTCCACGTTGTTTACAGTCTACAGGTGAATAAAGCGGTACTATATCTGTAGAAAGATGAAAATCACTTTGGTTTTCATGTTTTCTTAAAAAAATTTAACTGTTTTTAAACACTGTTCTCCCGCCTCTTCATTGTAAGTGACAAATTTCGGACGATAATGTAACTCACCAACGTCATCATCATCATCACCATTATTATTATTATTATCATCATCATTATTTTAACCGTGACAAATAAATTCATCATAAGAGTGATACTTTCAACCAAACAAACAATAGCATAACTTACCAGACTGAATACAGGTAAGTAAACGTGTTAACTAATGACTCGTTATAAAGTCTTTACTTCGCATGGAAACTTGCGATATGATATATAAATGAGATTAATTTTGATGATTTGAATAGATGGAGAAGTATTATTGTTCACTGATTTTACTTGCTATATAAAACAGGGTTAATGCTAGAGACTGTTTCTATGCTCATCATTACATTCATGTAATATCAAAGTATACATTATCTATACAGAGGTTTAAATGAAAGAGAATTTAGTTTGAATTTACCTAGATATCATAACTTTTCTGTCAGAATAACTGCCTTAAAGTTATCTTGGGAACATTTATTAGAATATATTGTTGTAGAAGAGTTTCCGTTTAAGTGACTTATCTTAATCTACCATGATTGTAGTCTCACTGCACTAAGTATGACAAAATATAAATATTTAAATGATCGATTGAACTTACATGAACAATATTGAATCCCTTTGCCCGAAGCGCTTGAGCTTCCTAAATTAATAGAAATTAAAGAAAATGTAATTAATGCATAAAACTGTACTGTACTCAGCTGATATTATGAACTGAATCTAAGACCTTCGACCTTGCACTCGAACAATCCATCTCTAGATCAATAAACCAGCATCCAGTGGTGCCACTATTTAACTTCAATCAATCCACGATATTGCGTAACTGCCTCCCATTGACTTCGGTGGGTTAGTGCCTCACACCTTACACGGTTAGGTTCTACTGGCCACAGCTTCTCACTAGAGCTCCGGAAATTTCCTTTCGAATCTAGTCACTAGTAAGCACGTGATAATTTTCAGTACAAGGTTGTAGAGATCGCTAAATCTTGTTGAAATTATGAACCGACCAATGTTACACCACCAGTCAAAACCTGTAATGCTATTGGCGATTTAATTTGGAGTCTTCCCAGTTCCACAAGATTATTAGGTGCTTTCTTTGTGCAACTAATCCGAGTAAATATCATGGGTTGGCACTGTAGTTTTACCATGCCGTCATAGTACAATAGAAGAACTCCAAAGAGTTTTAAAACAACACAGAATTAAAGCATATTACGAAACGACAAACACCCTTCGAAATGCTTTAGTCCATATGAATGGAAAAAATCCCGTTTATATCAACACAGAATTGTGTTTACAAATTAGAATGTGCTGATCGTGATGCCTTTTATATCGGAGTGTTATCTCGTGAAATCTCAACTCGAGTAAAAAAACATCTTAGGTACACAAAGAAACCGCCTAATAGACCGATGAAACTGGAGAGATTCCAAATGAAATCGCCGATAGCAGTCCATGCCATTTTCTACAACTATCAAGGGGATACTGAAAATATAAAAGTAATTTAAAATGACTTTTCTAACTATAAAGAAATGCGAGTAACTGAAGCTTTCTATATACTGTCTAATTCATCCATTTGACTTCGATAATCTATCTGAATTACCATGTCTGTTTCTATTTACATCTCACATCATCATCGTACATACAAATTATACTCTATCCTTTTGCACCACAAATATCACATTTTTTATCCTTTAACACACAGTCCTACACACAAATACTCAAACATGCTTCACATAAGTCAACATGACCTGAATGACATGACATGACTTGATTAGAACTGTTCCCGATTGATCACACTAAATATTCCTGCTTTATTTCTTTGAACAATTTAAACTTGAGTTGATTTAATTTGTTCATTTATTTTTTGAAGAAGTCCCTTACACTGAGTGACGAAACGTCAGAAAATTTAAAAATTTAATTTTATTATTCATTGGGATATTACAAATATATTACTTTTATTGGTAAAACTCAATATTTGATTAGCCTTCATTACGTATTCTAGTTACACACATTCTAGTAGTATTACTTAATCATCTTAAAGATTGGTCTCAAAAATCACTAATTTCTATTGACGGTTAAGCTTAAATGCAAGATACTGTATCATCATATAAAGTTTTGTTGACTGCCCACCATTATAAACATAATAAATTGAATTACAACTAGAGACTAATGAAGACTATCGATAACAAATATTTTCACTAATGTAGGTCAAATGATTACAAGAAACACCGGAAATATCTTTATGATCTTTTGTAGTAATCAACATTATATAAATTTGAATTAGAAATGTTCATTAACATTTGTGTCAATCAAATAGTTTCAGATGTGGCGGCAGATAAATCTTAGTATTTGACATTCAAATATGATTCTTCCATAACTCTACATATCAAATGGGAAACTTATTTAATTATAAACTTGAAATATTTTTTTCATTAGCCAGAGTTCTTGTAAATCATCCCGTTTTTGATATTTAAGATTGCAACTGATCAGTCTTTTTTTGGCAAATATGTACATTCTGTGCGGATCGCCTCGATTTTAACACTGCTATGGTGTAGATATTAAACCTTAGTCCTCGTACACTGAACTGTTAAGTCCCAAATGGAACGAAATGTTCATACTGGATTTCACTACCGAACTATGCTTAATTTGACAATGACAATGTCAGGGCAAACTGCACAAGATGCACTTTTGGTATAAGGCATCTGATCAATTACATCCTTTGAAATTATCAACGGGAAGATTCAAATGATCCTTACAATTGAATTAAAGTATGTCGGTGTTACACAAGCCAGTAGATATTTGGACTCAGTAATTAAATGTAAAATGCTCAATGCGTTTTACATAAAAGTTACTGGGTTCGGGCTCGTATGGATATCAACACGAATGCAGATATATCGAGCTGACATGTCCTAGAAAGCACGGAACACGTGTTCTGGATTGCACCACGAGCCACTTTCCAACTCTGCTTCTAAATGTTTATATCTCCAATGGATGGCAAATAATTTGTTAAACTTCATTCTGAACTTTTGCAAACAACCAAAATGAAATGATTTACCTTAGGTTTATGATACCACATTTATATAACATAAATCGTGTTAAACTATCGTAAGACTCAGATTTTTCTAACCTCAACTCACTTATGTGTCCATTTTTGGATTAATGAACTAAAGATTTTGTTCCATTCAAATGATTATCAATTATTTGTTAAAAGCTAATATATACTAACTTGTAACCAAATAGTATGATTCGAAATTTCCAATATATCACTGAGTTGTTTTATTAATCAGTATGAAAAACCATCAGTTATTGTGACATGTAATTTATAATACAATTAGGTGAACAAATGATCAAAGAACTTACTTAATGTACTGTTACCTGCACATTGAAAAATAAGATAATAATCGCTTAGATACTAATATTAATATATAATCATTGAAAACAACATTCAGACTGTATGTGAAGTGTTATCAAACAATTTATAGTATTTGTTTAATTCAGTGAAATATTAAATCCCATATCTATCTGCATAGAATATTCCAAGCAAAGTGCTAAACTGATTATTCATTATCGGAAAGGGGTCTCCAGTAATCTATCATTTATTTTGTCAGTTAAAATAATTTAGAATACTTATTATGTTAATGAATAATTAAAATTATACCACCATGGAGAGCCTGGAAGCATTGGAATGCCGTTTCGTCGTAGTGTGGGACTCCTCGGCAGTACGCATACACGATCCCAATCGTGGGACTAGAACAGAAGACCAGTAGAATTCAACCGGGTCTGTTGTGAGATAGTAACCCACTGAAGACAATGCTGGGCGGTGGCTCGATTTCATGGATTGGTGGAAGTTAGACATTAACACCGATGGGTGCCAACTCGGTGGTCTGGAAGTTAAGCGTTCGCTTGCGAGACCGATGGGTCCTGAGTTTGGATCCCGCGAGGGGGTCGTGGATGTGCACTGCTGAGGAGTCCCGCACTACGACGAAACGGGTGCCCAGTGCTTCGAGGCTCTCCATGGAGGTGTAGCTTTAATTATTCATTAACATAATAACATAATAAGTATTCTAAATTATTTTAACTGACAAAATAAATGATAGATTACTAAAAATACGATAGATAAAGTACTTCTGTTGACAAATTTACTAATATACTATCCTGAGTTATAAACTATGAATTCAACAATGTCCAGTAATTCACTAGCCTACATCTATCCTTAGTGAAATTTACTTCTAAATAGATTATTTGTTTATTTGTATACCTTTTAAGAAGATATACCTTCCAGGAAAAGTATTTCTTCATTATAAGCAAAAATAGATAGTAACTAGAAGTGGAATCCAGTTGCATGTACCTACATCCCCTAGTTGATGTTCACTCTTGGACTCGAACCCAGTACCGTTCACTTCAAACTCCATCGCGTTATTCACTTAGCTACTGAGTCCTGATAGCTGATTGCTTGTGCAAAGTGAATATATTTCTTTATTACTCTAACATGATCATACTAACTCCAATGTTTTATTTGACTAAAGAATTTATATTGTCTATTTAATCTATGTTTTAATCAATTTAATCTTCGAAACATTGTAATATTGTAATAATTATATTCAACATTGTTCGTTGGGCAGAAATTCATCAGTGTAAAGAACTGGAAAGGTTATTTCAATAAAAATCATAAATATATGAATCAAAATATACAGTTTAACTTACAGTCATCATCTGTAAAATGATTACATTAAAAACAAAATAGTTTAATTTAGATACAGAAAACTGTCATAGTAACATATAAGGCATAACTTTAAAACAATTGACTTGATGTTTTTGATTGAAATCATGGATCCATTGATATCAGACTACCATTGTAAACCTAGAAGTACTGGACGGCCGTTTGGTCCTACTATGTGACTTCTCAGTAGTGCGCATACTGTAGATAATTTCAAACGGTGGTTATAGCAATTATGAATCATAAGATTTAAAGTACTAGGTCTGTGGTGTGTGTTACTAATGGTGCACATCTAAGTAATATATATTATCAATCGTAAGTGAAATATCTGGTGGCAGAAGGTTAAGAGGATCAAAGGAAAGAGAATGAGAACAGAGAATGATTGGTGTGGAAACGAGAGAACAATCAAATTTGAGACAGTTGATTGACATTTTGCAAGTGAAGTATTTACTGTATGATTATCGTTTGAAGCGAACGGTACTAGGTTCGAGTCCAAGAGTGAACATCAACTCGGATGCAGATAAATCCAGATGACGAGTCACAAATAGGACGAAACGCGCGGCAAACTGGATTTCATCTTTGCTTATAATATTTGTGACTTAAGGTAATATCGGGGCGTTCTGAACAGTATGCACCTATACCAATAAGAGACTGACCAATTGCATTCTTGAACATCAATGGGAAGATTCAAGTAAACAGTACCAAGTGAATTTATTCTGTAAGTTTGTATTAAAATACATTTTATCATCCCCACCTTAGTTCTCGTTCACTAATAGTGGAATGGTATAACAGATTTACATTTGAATGAGATGAAGTAAACTTAGAAAAATGCGAATCTATTAATTAATGCATTCAAATATGATACAGTATACGTAATCATAAACTGTATACTTATTTTGGTTGAAATTAAAGTATATTAAACAAAAAAAAGAAAACGAGCACTGTGTAAAGTTTAGTTTAACCAATAAAGACATTAAATCCTGTCTTTCCAATGTATAGTATTATTCATTACATCAATGCCTATGAACGTTTATATAACGAAAAGTCTTACATAATTTGTAGAATTGAATAAATAATTAATAGATAATGATGTATATCAGTAGTAAATTTAATGTTTTTATCTTCATAGCTTGTAAACTTAAGCTGAATAATGAATAAAAAGATGTACCAAATTACATTGATTTCATCTTATTCTATAAATCATATTATTATTGACTTGATAGTGTGTACTATGAAGATCTATTAACTCCACTTGGAGCCCCTCTGGGGGCTACTGTCGGCCCCAAGCCCGGATAAAGGAGGAGGGTTGGACATGGTGTTAGCGACCCCACCCCATAGAAAACTAACTCGCTAAAAGAAAGCCAACCAGAAAAAAAATATTCGAACCATTTAAACTCTGCCCTGGGAGTCAGAAGGTCTTCAGTTAGAAGAATTATGATGTCTCGTGATGAAAGCCGAGTTCCTTCGGAAGTCACGAGACCGATAACCCTTCTGACAACCAGAGCAACCATTTAGTTAGGTACATGGAATGCTCGTACAATGTGACAGACCGGGAGAGTCTTCCAAACTGCTGCAGCATGAAGATCTATTAAGTAATGAAACACTAGTGTTCTAGTTTATAATGTAGTAAGTAAACATTACAAAATAGTAATAAACACTATGTATGCATATATCTATATATGTATGAACTTACTTTCATCTATGAAATAAAGCAGATCAAAGCAAGAAATCAGAAACCGATTCAAATTAACATACTAAATATCTTTTATTTAACTGAAATTATATACTTTGTGAAGTAATCATTATTCCGTTATTCTAGAATTATATATTTTTAGAGTTTAATTCCAAATAGTTGGTTATGATTATGATTTTTTTTCATTTTTTTAAAATACTACTGAAAACTTATAGAATTAACAAGCATATATCATAAATCTGTTTTAAGCATCAGAATGGGGTATTTGTGTGTATGTGTGGATATTATAGTAATTTTAATAGTTGAGATCATGAGTCAATTGAAGCTAAACGAAACGATCGTTCAATTCTTCCAGTTTTTTTCCATGGTGATCCAGCTTCAACTGACTCATAATTTCAACAATTAAAATCTGTTATTATTATTATTATTATTATTATTATTATGAATACTATGAATTTTATACTTATCTAATTGAAAAGAGAAAACTATAAACAAGCACTCTTTCATGTAATCGATTTGAACATAGCTCCTTTCCCATATCAAGAATCATCATAATTAATGAATAAGTGAATAATGTACATGGTAGGCAATAAGATACACTTGGAATTTATCATAATATAGACTATATTTTGGTGATTTAGGACGAAAGAATCATTTTTAGAAAATTTTCACTAAATGAAGAAAATATATGGTACATAAAATAAAGCTCTTTCAAATACCGTAAAAATAATTACCGAAATGTAATCACATATTATTCAAGTAACATATTTCTATTTCCTAAACAACACCGTAATCTAATAGTTGAATTCGTGAGTCGATGTAAGCTAGACCATCATTGAAAACTTAGGAGCACTGGTAGGCCATTCCGTTTTAGTATGGGACTCCTCAGCAGTGCGCAAACACGATTCCTCACGCAGCGTTGGAATATAGGACCTTTGGCCTCACGCATGAAGGTTTAATCTATAGACCACCGAACCGGCATCCAATAGTGTTAATGTCCAAATTACATCCGTCCATGAATCGCTGAGCAACAATTCATCCGTTGTCTGAGGTAGATACCTGACTCTACCCGACACAGACTGGAATCCATTGGTCACAACTTCTCACAAGAACCCTAGAAAATCCATCTTGAAGCAAGTGACTAATGAGTACTGTATTCAATTTCAATCGTATTCTACATCAGTTAGTCACAACAACGTCATACATTCAGCTCATTATACTTCGTGGAATCACAATACTTAAAAAACGACTGACTCATGCTCAATCCGTTCAACATTCTCACGATTAATTCTGTTTACAATACACACATTATGTGTCAATCGTGAACAATTTCAACAAATCTAACTAACAAATATGTATTGATGGCATCGTTAATGACAGTCAATCTGTATATAATCACAATAATTGACATACTGAAATGTAACATATAAAATTGGAATGCATGGAAATGCATGCTGAGTGAAAACATCAATTTCCAATTTATGGTATTCATTTCAAGTGTGAAATTTGTTTCCATCTGTTCGATGTGATGATCTGGCTGACATATGACAGATCAGGTGAATGGAATTACACCACCTTCATCTCACTCCACAAATTGCATTCCATTCACACTGAGGAGATGTGCTCATCAACTCGATCAATTGTATACGTGATCACTTTCCACTGTGCAGTGCACACACGCACACACATTGTTTCCTCCATACTACTCATCGCAATATATATATATATATGTATATATGTATATATGTATATATGTATATATATATATTAGTACGTATATAACAGACAAAATGAACTTACTTCCATCTGTGAAAAACAAATCGAAACAAGGAATCACATCAGATATTTGAGTAGTTGCACAACTATTATTTATTTGTATGATGTGATTGAGGTTGGTGTAAATTATGTATTGTTCGTCAATTATAAACATGGATTTCACTCTTATCACCAAATTTGAATGATTTCATTCTCACACTAGAACACAATTCCAAATGTACAGTCACTTATCATCACCATTATCATCATATGAATGTTTAATGGGATTCGAATGACATTGTCAGTCGATGTGAATTTCTGTGACCTATCATCACTTGTCATCTGACAAATGAGCTGTTTGTCAACCACTACACAATCAGCAACACATTGAGGTTTCATCAATCAACACAACCTTTGTTATTTCATTCACAACTATCTATTCTTAAAAGTATTCAAATACTCGTCAATAAAGTCATTCTGTTTACACATGAATCTGAAACGTGAATTATCTGGTGCACCTTAATTACAACAACCAGTGACCAACAGTACACGATGTGTTTGATTAGTAATATGTGCAATTCACATAGTTCATCTACTATCTGACTACCGACAGTGTGCAATGTCACAATAATAAACACTTGTGCGATTGGAGTGTATGATACATGTGGAAACTTCACTTAGTTAAACATTTATAAATTTGTGAAGTTTGACTAGCAGTTGAGTTGTTCTGAATGTATTAGAAAGTTTATAACAAGAATATGTGTAATATTGTGATGATTTTGAACGTACGTTGTTCGTCTTCTAAATTGGGATTAAATCGAATATTTAAATGATATTAGGATAGTGATGATTGTGATTCGACTAAATTAGTGTTTATTATTTGAGCTTTTTAAACCTTGATTAGGCCTTGAGGTTAATATCATGTTTCCTCAGGTTCGTCATATGAATAATCTTTTTGATGTAACAATTTAGTTCGTGTATCGTAACTAATTTAATTTCATAACTGACTGATCCCTGGGTGGTGACCAATGTCATGCGTGTCAAGTCCTTCGTAGTGCAGACCGAATGCTATCGACCAAGTTGAAACATGGCCACTAGTCTAGGTTACTCGACATTGCGCGCACCATGTTGAGATAGGTTTTTGGTTGGAGGTAGTCAACAGTAGACTCTGGACCCCGGTTTCGTGCTATTTGGCACTCGTCAAAAATGTGTGCCTGTAATCTTGAGGAAACCTGTGCTCTCTGACGGACCCGATACCATATCACCTAGCTTCACAGTCAGAGACGTTACAACTGGGCTATCCGGGCCGTGACCGACCTCCTGTAGAACTGAGATGATTGGTTACTGGGTGGTGATCAATGTCATGTTTGTAAAGTCCTTCCTAATGTAAACTTTTCCATTAATTTCATTTTAATGGTAAACGGTGCGGATAGCCCAGTGGTAACGTCTCTGACTGCGAAGCTAGGTGATATGTTATCGGATCAGTCAGAGAGCACAGGTTTCCTCAAGATTACAGGCACACCTTGCTGACGAGTACCAAATAGCATGAAACTCGGGTCCAGATTTTTTTGTTGACTACCTCCAACTGCCATCCTATCTAATTTGATTTCATATAATTTCTATCAAACGTTTTTATGAGTAGCCGTCAAAAGTCAATTCTTGTTTCATCCTACATATTTGTGTAATTAAGAGTATACTAAAATGACATCCGTGATGTAATCCGCGACTTAAGCTGAACAAAAACCGCCTGTGGAAGTACAGTGACACTGATCCTGTTAAAAGATGATAATGTTTGATGGATATACCGTACATCAGTTTTATAGTGTCGCTATTCACTTTACTTACAAAATGCTTATGACTTAATAGTGATCTGTATGGCAATATGTATAGGATAAATGGAAAAATTAAAAAATCCAATACTACTGAATTAAAACCATAATATTTTATTCCTTTTTAGAACAAATAGAAGAATATTTGAAAGTGTTTACTAGTTGTTCAAATATTCATTAGTTGAAATTTTTGTTAATTTTCAAAATGAATAAACTATGTTGCCTGATTTTTCCAATGATCAAAATCATCAGTATTTACATTGTTTATGTAGTGAACGAGAACATATGTGAGGACAATCAAATGTATTTGAACACAACATTACAGAATCTCTTAGTAAAATCTAAGAACCATACAGCAAATACATCATTTACAAAACATCACTTAATCGTATCAGACTTGATTGTTACTTCGTTTCCAAATCAATCATTCTCTGTTGTCATTCTCTTTCCTTCGATCCTCTTAACATTCTGCCATCAGGTATTTCACTTCCCATTGATAATATATACTACTTATATCTGTCATCAGTAGCACACACCAGTTATGTAATCAATAAAACTGAATTATAGATACTAATTCAAAATTACTACTAATAGTCATGCTTTAATTTTGAACATTATTCTATACTATCAGTTGTTGATCATTAAGTCAAACTGATAATTTTTACAGGGATCAAAGATTCATCATATACACTACATAATGAATATGTTTATTTGTGAATTGAATATGATGAATGTCTATTGCCTTAGTGATGTTTCGATAATTTCATTAATACGACAGAAAATCTAAAAGGCATTAGAACTTACTTATATAACTAGATCCTGAAATTAAAATGAAGGATAATACATGTAAATATTGTTATTGACTAAAGATACTGAACTAGAATAATGAAGACGTATTTTATTCACATGATTCTATATACATATACTTTCGTGACAATAGTTGTCAAACTGAGCTGAATGGTTTTCGAAAAGTACCATATCTCAATTGGAGTTCCAGGAAAATGAATGCATGATATGTAAGTGCTGATAATCAGTTCATACTAAAATCAGGCTGAGTTATCCCAAAAACTGTGCAACTTTTCACATACAAACAACATTTCCAATGAAACAGACTTACTGCATATGAAAGGAGAAGTTTGAAAATATTTACCGTCATATCAATAAATTTTGTTGCTAACGATTTTAGATGATAGCGGTAAGTTTTAAAATATTCTGAGCAATTATAACAAAAACGCCTGGAGTCCCCCTGGAGCTACTGCCTGTCCTAAGCCCGGACAAAAAGGAGGGTTGGGCATGGGGTTAGCAACTCCATCCCTTAGAAAAATAACTCACTAAATAAAGCTAACCAAAGTAATTGTAACAAAAGCTGCTGACAAATCATTCCTTACGTATCTAAATCTTATATCAGGTCTATTAATCATTTTTCCCTGTAAGTAAAGATTTTAAAGTTTTCTTACTCTTTAGTGTCCGATGAATTTTTTACTTCAGGGTATGTTTCTAACGTTTCATTATATTTTCTTGAATTTTCTTTTAGTCAGTACTGCCGTTTTCTAAGTTATATTATTCTCCTATATTTATATGTTATTAGAATAATACTGACCGATGATTCTTTCCACAAGGGACTAGGATGTGAAATTTGTAATAAACTTATTGTAAACGATTGTAACTTCATCATTATTGAATAGGAAACTATCCATTTACTGTAAGCATTGGAAAATACTACCGATTTTGATTTAGTGATTGACGCTTCTGGTATTACTGATAAAAATGTAGTGATTGAACTATTTAAGATCTTGCAGATGTATGACCCTAAATAAAGCGCTTTTATGAAGAGATCTGATGGCTTTAGAAAAATTTAGCTGGAGGAACTTAACACTACTGAAAGCATTACCCTGAGCTACAAATTTATGAAGATCTGATTTCATCAATTTTATTGTTACACCAAAAGCGATTCAACACGAAATTGTAAAAAGATGTCACAACTAAACTAAACGACACGTTTGCCTAGGAAGACTGAATCGTACGAGTAGATATAATTTCTTGAGAATGAACAATCATAAAGTGTTTTACAGTTTCTTGGAGTCTATAGCCTTCACTAATAATAGAAAGATTTGATAAACTAATTTACAAATGCAAACAATCGTTAGGCTTTGAAGAGTATCTAACAAAATCATTTGAACTGATTATATATGGTGACATAACTATTTCACATATCGGTAGTATTAATGTAAAGACATGGAATTAAACTTTGGCAAAATTCTTCTTGTACTATAACAAATTTGTATTTATTACTCCGAAAATGAAGGAATTTAAGCTGAAATCAATCGGCTATCGGACAAAGTCTTTATAATTTTAGTACACTGAAAATGTTCGTCAATAGGATTTGTTGCATAAGTGACGATCATTTGTGTTGTAATTTATTCATTGTATCATATAATTCACCATACCAACGACAAAATGTTCACAATAGGCTACATAACAATTAGGAAATAAGCAAAGATGGATAGTGGATAGCAGTAGAATAAGTGATACGCGTTTCGTCCTATTTGGGACTCGTCACCCCCACTGCACAAGCAAGTGGCTATAAAGACTCAGTAGCTAAGTGGATAATGTGATGGCGTTTGAAGCGAATGGCACTAGGTTCGAGTTGAAGAGTGAACATCAACTCCGAGATACAGGTACGTCCAGCCGACGAGTTCCAAATGGGACGAAACGCGCGAACTGGATTCCACTTCTAGAAATTATCCATCTTTGTTCAGAATGCTTGTGAATTAAGGCAATATCGAGCATGATGCACAGTATGCAAATATACCAATAACAGACTGATCAATTGCATTCTTGAACATCAATGAAACGATTCAAGTTAACAAAACCAAGTGAATTTAAATAGCAAATAATTTACAAATATTTTAAAAAACCAACAGAACAATTGAACTTACTTCCATCTGTAGCAAAACAAACGAATGAAACAAATACCTCATGATTATTTATGGGATTAGGATTTTATACAAATTCATTTAATTTATTATATTTTCAGTATGAGTTTATGGAGATTATTAAGTTTTTGATTGAGATCATGAATTGATTGGTGTTAGACTGTGGATACTCACTGATGAGGAGTCCCACAATAAGATGAAACGGCCATCCAGTACTTTCAGGTTTTCAATGGTGGTCTAACATCAATCGGTTCATGATCTCAATCATTATATTTTATTGAATTGTTATACTTTTAAAGCTTTTACAATTTATAATTTGAGGGAATGATAATTCAGTTATAAACTTTTATTATGCATAATTTCTTATTCCAGAAAATAAATAATTTAATGTACAATCACTTTTAACATTGATACAGTTTCAAGTGCGATACGAATCTCAGTCTAGTTTTTTGATAAAATATTTAACTACTACTGATGAAACATTTCATATAGTAATATGTTTCGTTATTATGTGTTTTCTTTAAGAACCATTATTCGCTTTTACAGAATGAAGAAACTTCTTATATCTAAGTACTATGATAAATAGTAACGATAATACATTATTATGCATGCAAACCCCACTCTGATCATAATCATTATGTGCTCATTAGTGACTGGTTCCAAGATCATTCAATGGAGTTCTAGTGAGAAGTCGTGACTAGTGGAGTCTAACCCGTTTCGGGTAGAGACAGGTATCTACCTAAGACAATGGATGAATGATTGTACAAAATCATGGATCGATGGAAGTTAGACGTTAACACTGCTGGATACCGGCTCAGTGGTCTAGAGTTTAAGTGTTCGCACTCGAAGTTGATAGATCCTGGGTTTGAATTCCGCGAGATGGGGTCGTGAATGCACACTGTTGAGGAGTCCCATACTAGGACAGAATGGCCATGCATAAAACATGTAAGCAATTTAATTTTAAACATAGCAATTATTTAAAGCTGCTAAAATTAATTTGAATTCAAGATAATGAAAATGTTAATAAGATGAGGATGATAATGACTTAAAATTTCAACATACATTGATCACTTTCTGAATAGAAAAAAAATCAATTACATAGAGTTACACTGAACTAACAGAAAACAACATTTACAAATTAAAGTTCAACTTTATGGATGACAAGTAATTGACATTTATATAGTCAGTCTAAAAGATAGATAATAGTAACTCCAATATTAATGTATGGTTAAAATGAAAGTTTTGTTTATTTAACACTAATTATCTCTCATGTATAAGAGAATAATAACTTCCAGGTCTTCATTGGTTATCTTACAAACACTTAACTATTCTATGTAATAGGGATCATTTCAGTAGGATATTAAACTATATTTAGTTCACTTTCAGTTAGAATCGAATCAATATACGATACTACTAATTCGTAGTTAATAAATGGAGCTTTTGATTATGTTCAAATGACAATTCTTTAAATTAGAACAACGCATATAAGCGAACAATTGTTTTCAATTAGATCGTCATCAGGCTTTACTCCAATATACATACGAACCAATCAATCATCTTATTGATAGCATTCATACTGTAGATAAATCGGAAGCATTTCGAGTGATCTATCGTATAGCTCCATCATTTCCCAACGGAGTTCGTTCCCGCCTCCTACATATAGCTGAAGCCATAGGAATTCGTACATATAACCCCAATTTATGTGTACAGCAGAAATTCAGATGGTGGTTGGAGGTAGGACTGAGATGTAATCACAATTGACTGATCACTGGGTGGTGATCAATGTCATGCTTGTCTAGTCCTTATTAGTGCACGGCTCGGATAGCTCAGTGGTAACGTCTCTGACTGTGAAGCTGGGTGACACGAGATCGAATCCGTCAGGGAGCACCAGTTCCCTCAAGATTACAGGTACACCTTGCTGACGAGTGCCAAGTAGCACGAAACCCGGGTCCAGGGTTTCCTGTTGACTACCTCCAACCACCATCTAAATCTCAATACATAGTGCCCGCAGTGTCGAGTCACCTAGACTGGTGGCCACATTGCAACATGATCGATAGCATTCGATCTGCACTAATAAGGACTAGACAAGCATGACATTGATCACCACCCAGTGATCAATCAATTGTGACAGCAGAAATTCGTAACCCTCATCCCTTCCATGGCCAGTTATAACTTAACAAACGATTTTTTAAAATTTTTGTTATTATGATTTATTTATTTTATTCTATTTTTGTTATCGTTAACCTTATTTTCACATCCATTATTTGTATGTAATTTTCTGCCTCTTGCCGTTTGCATTCTTCACTATCTAATTATTTGCACAATTCTTATTACGTAATGATTTTAATGTTTTGTGATGACTATCCTAAGTCTATTTACCCATGTTTGACCTTCTATTTCCAACGTTTAACTATTGATAAGACTTTTGTCATCGTATTTTATTATTCTTACCACTATCAGTACACCTGTCTTCCTACTATCAACATGAATTATGTGTGGTGACTTATTCTATTTCATTGTGATTATTGACCCATATTGCCTTGATTGGCTTAACATTTTCGTATAAATATTCATGTATGTTAGAGTAAAGCCTGATGACGATCTAATTGGAAACAATTGTTCGCTTATATGTGTTGTTCTAATTTTCACAATGGGAATCTTTAAAATTCTCTAAATGTTATGTTATTCTTTATTCGCTTTCTAACTGAAAACAATGTACTTTTGTGTCTTATGGTAACTATCACCACTATAATAAATAACACACCACTTGAACTTACTTATATAACTAGCTCCTGAAATTCAAATAAGATAAATTAAACGTATTATATCATATTCAATAACTATTGGATATCAATTAAATGATAATGTACTAATTAACAGATAGAATATTTCAGTGGTTGAGATCATGAGTCAATTGAAGCTAGACCACCGTGGTAAACCTGGAGGCACTGGATGGCTGTTTTGTTCTATTGTGGGACTCCTCAGCAGTGTGCATCCACGATATAATATTCTTATTATAACCTTCTTAGTTAAACAAATAACATCTAACTTTCATAACAATATCTAATCCCCTTTTAAGAGAATAGTTAGAATTCATCGCACTGATAGAAATGAAACATTTTTAATCAGAACAAGGTAAATAATCTACCTTCATATCATATGAAATCATAACGTGTACTCAGTTATACTTCAGGGTCTTTGATAAAAACCTAAACAGAATGATACATCCGATAAACTGTTTGTATCGCAATTACTTTCTATGTAACGATATGCGTATATCGTTCTATGTCGTGTTTATACTGACTAACAATCTATCGAAAAATATTATGAATAATGGTAGTGATGATTTGTATATTTTACAAAACAAAAACTTTCTTGGAACAATGTTGAATTTGTATTAGCCAACTGTTAATGAATTTGTAGTTTCAGTGAGTAGAAATAAAGTGTAGTAATGAATTTAGAAGACGTTTAGGAAGAGATTGAAATCTTGGTGTGAGGTGAAGAATCTTCATCGTCTAAATCAACAACAGATATTAGATAGCTTACTACTTACGACCACTAATCATTGAATAGTATAGAACTCCTTAGAAGTACCCATTCAAGAATCTTAATAATTAAACAGACGAATGAAATAACACAATTTTCATAGTATTCGATGAAGTACTTCTTCGTACATTGAGAAAAAGTATTAATTTGCGTTTTATTCAACAAGTACCAATTCATTTCCTAAACAATAATGTATTTATCTTCAATCGGATTCTACAGTAGTTAGTCACAACAATGTCATACATTCAGCTCATTATACTTCGTGGAATCACAATACTTAAAAAACGACTGACTCATGCTCAATCCGTTCAACATTCTCATGATTAATTCTGTTTACAATACACACATTATGTGTCAATCGTGAACAATTTCAACAAATCTAACTAACAAATATGTATTGATGGCATCGTTAATGACAGTCAATCTGTATATAATCACAATAATTGACATACTGAAATGTAACATATAAAATTGGAATGCATGGAAATGCATGCTGAGTGAAAACATCAATTTCCAATTTATGGTATTCATTTCAAGTGTGAAATTTGTTTCCATCTGTTCGATGTGATGATCTGGCTGACATATGACAGATCAGGTGAATGGAATTACACCACCTTCATCTCACTCCACAAATTGCATTCCATTCACACTGAGGAGATGTGCTCATCAACTCGATCAATTGTATACGTGATCACTTTCCACTGTGCAGTGCACACACGCACACACATTGTTTCCTCCATACTACTCATCGCAATATATATATATTAGTACGCATATAACAGACAAAATGAACTTACTTCCATCTGTGAAAAACAAATCGAAACAAGAAATCACATCAGATATTTGAGTAGTTGCACAACTATTATTTATTTGTATGATGTGGTTGAGATTGGTGTAAATAATGTATTGTTCGTCAATTATAAACATGGATTTCACTCATATCACCAAATTTGAATGATTTCATTCTCACACTAGAACACAATTCCAAATGTACAGTCACTTATCATCACCATTATCATCATATGAATGTTTAATGGGATTCGAATGACATTGTCAGTCGATGTGAATTTCTGTGACCTATCATCACTTGTCATCTGACAAATGAGCTGTTTGTCAACCACTACACAATCAGCAACATATTGAGGTTTCATCAATCAACACAACCTTTGTTATTTCATTCACAACTATCTATTCTTAAAAGTATTCGAATACTCGTCAATAAAGTCATTCTGTTTACACATGAATTTGAAACGTGAATTATCTGGTGCACCTTAATTACAACAACCAGTGACCAACAGTACACGATGTTTTTGATTAGTAATATGTGCAATTCACATAGTTCATCTACTATCTGACTACCGACAGTGTGCAATGTCACAATAATAAACACTTGTGCGATTGGAGTGTATGATACATGTGGAAACTTCACTTAGTTAAACATTTATAAATTTGTGAAGTTTGACTAGCAGTTGAGTGGTTCTGAATGTATTAGAAAGTTTATAACAAGAATATGTGTAATATTGTGATGATTTTGAACGTACGTTGTTCGTCTTCTAAATTGGGATTAAATCGAATATTTAAATGATATTAGGATAGTGATGATCGTGATTAGACTAAATTAGTGTTTATGATTTATTCTGTTGTAATAATGCTAGTATTTGTACTTACGTGAATGGTAGTCATTCGAACCTCTAGTATTTACGGTGCCTAGAACATCACAAAGCAATCAAAGGCTTGATGCGACTTGTATTAACGTTACATTTCTTCATGTTCAGCGTAATCAATAGCTTTCAACTGTGGTAATACTTCATGTATTAACCCTTTTACTTAAGGTACTTGAGATTTTACTAAAATGATATCCATTATTTATTGCATAACTTAAATTGCTTAAGAGCCACTCGTGTATGTGCCAGTGACTTTCAGAAACATTTCGGTGTACTGTTAAAAATCTTCCCCAACAAAATATCTCTCCCGGCAAGATCACAAATCAACTTATTTCCCAATATCCATCCTTTAAAATTCTTTCATCATTTACAGATATAATTTGTGATATCTCTTTCATCCCGCAATATAATTTTAAATCTATATTATCTGCGATTATTAAGCATATTATTAGAAATTAGTAATATTGACTCAGAATTACTGTGAGGTTATATTTTCGGTTTGTAGGGGTTTTTTAAATCCAACTACATCTCTTCAAACTTCAGTCTAAACAGTCAGCCAATAGATAAAAAACTTTAACAGACAATTCTACACCTTGTGTTGTTTTATTTATCAGTATATGGTTATGGAAATTGTTGAGTTTTGATTAAAATCATGAATGAATCAATGTTTGACTACCATTGAAAACCTAGAAGTACTGGATGACCATTTCATCCTAGTATAGGATTCGCCAACAGTGTGCGTCCATGATCCCCTAGGTGGGATTCGAATTCAGGTTCATCTTGGTATTATTTACTATAATGCCTGATAAATGCTTAGTTTTACTTGTGGTATCTTTTTTCAATGAAAATATATAGGAATTTCAAAATATTGTAGCTTACTTAGATAGTTTGCTCCTGAAACAGAAAAAAAGTTATTGTATAGTAACATTATCATACTTTAACTAGTTAAATGAGATTAAGTTAAACCTTTCTATGAATAGTACATCTATGCGAAACACCAACTAATTGTGTGCATTTAAATTAACCAAGTATTATTCGATGGTTCCTCCAGTGGGAATAATCAAATATTACACTTATTGAATACAATAGTATAGTTTTCATTCAACGTATGGTTTGTAATATTTTCCCTCTCTTAGACGTATTAGACGATGATACGTTAATGAGTTAGTGTGACTTATCACTGTATATCGGAATCAGGATTCGCGACCCAAAATAGAGAACCAGATTAACACTAAAGAATACTCTGTTCAATACAGTGACTCCAGGGTAGAAATCAACGATAAGAAGTAAAATAACATATTTAATAGTTCGTAAACTGTGGCTGTTTGTTCACCCTCAACGACTAACCATACTTTACTTTCATTGTCACACATCAGGTTTATAAATTAACTGTGTACTATACAAATAGATGAATATTGTTAATCCAATGCTGAATGTGAAACATGTCGTGTGTGTATAAATCTGAATTGTAGAAAAAATTATAGTAAGATAAAAACCTTCATAATATAAGCGTATTTAGTCGTTTATCTTCCCATAGATTTTGAGTTCTAGTATTCCTTCATATCTACACTTACATTTCATCCTTTTAAACCCTGTCCTCAACCTATAGTCATTCTTGTTGTTGCTACGCTATTTCAACTACATTGCTATTCACTTTGTTAATTTGACCCTGTCTTACTAATGTATTATGGTGTGTGCTACTGATGTCGACAGATATAAGTAATATATGTCACCAATCGAAGATGGAATGTCTGGAGGTCGCAGGTTGAGAAAATCAATGAGAAGAGAATGAGAACAGAGAGTGATTAGCATGGAATCGAGGGAACAGTAAAGTCTTAAACAATTGATGGATATTTTGCAACTGAAGTATTTACAATATGGTTGTCAGATTTTATCAAGATATTGTGTAATGTATCAAAATGTGTTTGGTTGTCCCATCCTGTGTTCTCGTTCACTATACCATAACTTAGGGTCATAAATGGTCAGCAATTTTTCCTAACATTTGATCAACATAATATATACATAAAGCCGTTATCTTAGTACAATTTCTTTTACAATTTACACTTATACACACACTAACAACATGTTTCACATTCAGCATTGAATTAATACTATTCAACTATTTGTTCAGTACACAATTCATTTGTAAACCATAATATTTATATTCAGTAATTGTAATATTTGATTATTTTCATTGAAGGATACTACGGCGTGCCTCAGAAGATAGTCAATATAATACGAAATTACTATGATGGATTAAACTGTAAAATTGTGCATGGAGGACAATTGACAGATCGTTCGAGGTAAAGACCGGTGTCAGGCAAAATTGCTTACTCGCACCAAAGGAAGAGAAGAGGAATACCAAAGAACACATTACGCCGGGAAATGGAGATAGACATGAGAAAAATGAACAAGAATTGGATGGAATTAGAAAAGAAGGCCCAGAACAGAGTGGGTTGGAGATAGCTGGTCGGCGGCCTATGCTCCATTAGGAGTAACAGGCGTAAGTAAGTAAGTAAGTCCATTGAAGGGACTTGAGTCAAACATTGAATGCATGTCAATTTTAATTGTTCATAGTTTTATAAATTCAATTTCAATTTTAATGGTAGACTAGTGACATTTAAAATGATGTAAAATAATCAGTAGTATATATCATCTGACAATTGAATATATATGTTATAAGCCAACCAAATGAACTTACTTCCACCTGTAAGATAAACAAATCATATGTAAAGCAATTAATAACCAATGGATGTTAATTATTAATAAATATTTTGCATGCATGATAGAATTTATAATGTCTAAAAAATAAATATAATATCTATAGTTCAAGTTCCGTGTGCTGATGAGTACCATACTAGGACGAAACAGTTGTCTAGTGCTTCCAGGTTTTCAATGATGGTCTAGCATAGATGGATTCGTAAATTCAACTTTGAAAACATAAATAATTCATCACTTTATAAGAATAATTTATCAAATATTCGGTTTAGGTAAATTATAATCAGTCTGTAAACTATACGTATTCATGATTGTTAAGTCTGATTTACGTCCTCTGTCCTTAATCATTTCCCTTAGACTCTTTTGTGCCTCATTTTATACTACTTATTATTATTCAGTAAACAGTTGTATCGCTAGCAATTTTTAAGCTTATGTTGTAACTCTGTCGTGTAATATCCTGAAATATTTACATATACTTATAACATTTATTATATGTATCATTATAATTACTTTATCGCAATCATTGTAGCAGTTATTCACGAGTTTTTTATTTGCTTAACCCTTGTTTAAGCTCAACGGATTTCATATTGTTCTCTCTTGGTTCGGTTTTTGCTTGTTGATAAACTGTTACCAAGTTTAGACAAAGCCAATAGCTGTCTTTTGCACTATAATATGTTGTAACTATTCTTTATGTTAATATTACAGGAAGCCCTTTTTATTTCAGACAAAAGGACTCTGTAAACTCCGTAGACACCTCACAAGTTGAGGTATCTTATTCAATAAAGAACCGCTATTTTAGACAAATTGTTATTTTGTGAACATTGATTTTGTTCATATCTCAATTGGGTGAATTGGACAATTCGATAGACTTAACAATGATAAAGTTTTAAGCAAAATATAATTCTGTTAAACAATCATTGTCTGTATAATAAAATTACAATTTGTGAATAAATAAATATATAAAACGTTGAAAATGTCCTGGTTCATTTTAATTGTATATTAAAATGACAAATTTCATATTCTTAATTTAATATGAAATCTACTTACTTGAAGAAATACTGCTCTCTCTTTCAAATGAATGTCCATCTATGAAATTATAGGAAAGAAAACAAGACTTTAAATTACTACTACTGATGAATAACTTCACAGAAGGTAATCAAACAACAAAGATTTGAAAAAGAATACCAGAATACATCCAATGAACACAAGTTCATTGAGCCAGTAACTTTTAACGTCATTTATAATAAAAGCAAGTTCATTATTGTTGTTGTTGTTGTTGATTTTATGGACTGGAATCAATCAGTCGTTTTTGATTTCTTTGTATCATTAGTAGATTGTCTTGACAGTGTTGTTAAGTTATAAGCATAATTAGGAAAACTTTTAATAGTTATTATATTTAGAGTTCAGGACGTGTGTTTATGCTATTTCAAACACTTGGGGTAGATATATTTGGAATCGGGTTTGATGTTCACACCAGAATGTAAATCCAATGCCTGCCACCTTAAATGCTCAAAGAGGTCCTCACTTAGCAGCTGAATATGTGTTCTAACATTAATATGAACATTAAATTTAAGGTATAGATACATTTAACTAATGAGTTCGAATTAGGGAAGAGCATACGTCTTGGTTGCTACTGCTAGTCACTCATGAGTGAATAGAGTATAACAGAGAATTCTTCAGATCCCTGTTTTCATTTTCCGATTGCGTTCGGCGGGAGCTTGAGGACCAATAATAATTAGTGTCCTCGTATAGTTTTTTATTGATAGCTATGTCATTTGGTAAATAGGTGGTCACCAGTTCTACAGGTAATATAACCAAGCTAAGTTGTGAATGAACTAGATAAAGAATACAATGCTTGACGTAATAACGATCTGATCACACAGGGCACAACAATGGTCAACTGTTTGTTCCACTTCTCACCATTGCATCACATTCAAAACTAACTTTTTACGTTTAATAAGTGTATTTAACAAAATAAAAAGGTAATGGATGATTTAACAGTGTTACCGGACACAAGTTAGATCATCAAAACATCATTGTATATTTCATATAGTACAATTATAATGTTAATTATTTATAAACTTACTACACACTGGTGTTGAACTTCTTGTTGGTCGTCTCATTGATGTTCTGATAGACACACGATTAGAACCCGAAAAGTCATCTGTAGAATTGATTAAAATATTTTACATAATTAGATCAATGGATATATATATATATATATATATATATGTATGAACAAATCGGCTAAAAATATACCTGATGGTTTCGCATTCGTAACTGTAAAAGTAAATTAAATGAAGAGAGTATGGAAGTTTGAGTTCAACGATTTGAATATTATCAATTTTAATTCAACATGATACAATATCCTTGAATGTTTTTGTACAAAGTAGCTTTTATGTAGAAGAGAAGTCTTTAGTTGAACATATTACATAAAGCTAACATATATGCTGTCGATATTTTCCAGAAAAAAATTTACTTCCTATGTATGTTTGTAGCTTAAAGTCAGTTTTCCCAATAAACCTCGATTTCGCTTAGTTATTGTCAAATTTTAGATTTGTTTTATTTACTTATTTATTTGAACACATAAATATTGGTACAAAGAGACACCAAATACATGTGCGCCACACAAGTCACTTGATTTGTGTGTGGGCTGTAATACTGCTCGGGTGCCCAGACCGAAGTAAGTGGTTTTCTTAGAGAGTCACACCAGGAGCATTTGACTTTAAGGTCTAATCCACAACGCAGTGGGGCAATATTAGGACATGCAGTCCCATAGTAGCTAGTGACCAACGATTTGTTCATACGCCGTTTGTTCCTTCAGGATCATGGAGCTCATGTTCACCACCAACTCACTTAGGTGCACCCTCTGTGTCCACCAACCCGGTTACAGCGTCGGACATTCATTTTTCGTATTTTCAGTTTCTTGAACGGCAGTACTGCCGAGAGAATGCAGTGAGAAGGACTTCCCTAGTAGAGGCTGTATACGCGTGACCATGTTAGAGCAGGGAAAGAGAGCTGACTCTCCCCACCCTCGGCCGTACTAGAGCACTAAGTTGTATCAATTTTCATAACTCCGCCCTGAGCCCCTCTGGGGCTACTACCTGTCTCAAGCCTGGATAAAGGAGGTGGTTTTGGCATGGGGTTAGCGACCCCACCACGTAGAAAACTAACACCCTATATATGTGTTCATGTGTAAAACTAATTAAAATAAAATATCAGGTTTCATGAAACTGAATTATTCATTCATAATGTAAATTGGTTACTGTAATATAGTTAGTAGTATATGTATTCAGTTAAAAGAAAACTATGTCAAATACATACCTATTGCTGTAAACAAAACAAAAAACAAAAATACGTGTGTATCACTTTCTTACTATATACATATATATATATAACATAAGTATTTAACTAGAGTCATCCATTAAGTGTTCATGAATAAAGAACTTTTCAGCATAATATGATAAATGAACGTCTTTTTCAAAGTTACAGTTATGTAATATACCCCCTTGTGGACCAGGGTAATTTTACATTGGTTTCCAGGAAAACCAGACATCATATAAACTTTCACGTAACAACCCAAACAGTGCACCTCAGTCCCGTTTAACAGGAGAGCTAGGTTAAACACACAAGTTTTGTTTAAATGTATGAAATTAAACTGACGATATCAGAAGTTTGGTTGTAATGTCTATCATATGTTCGACATAAATTTAGAATTTTTTATGGAATTGGACTGATAATACTATGATCTGTTCAGGAAATCACTTCAATTAAACCTCCATTAAAATATCTTAAATTTATTTGGAAGAGATATTTCATGATAATTTAACTATTATTATCTAGTTTATCAAAGATCATAAGCTATCACTTGTCTGTAAATGCCTTAAATATATGGTAGATATATCATTTGCAAAAATATTAATATTCATAGTTTAGATTGTTGATTCATCACGGAACATAATCAAAAATCTTAGAGTAGCGGACAGATATTTCTTCCTGATGTAAGACTGAATTATCCGTTATGAACATTCAAATCCTCACCAATGAGGACGAACCTGTAGACCACTGAACTGGAATCCAGTGATTTATCTGTCTAACTTTAATCGACTCGTGATATTGTGTAATTATCTGTTATTTGCTGTGATTAACTCTCTCACACTCAACATAGTTTTACTCCAATGATAACGGTTTCACATTAGAACTCTAGGAATTACATCTTAAAGCTAGTGTAGTGTATTATAGTGTATATATAATGTAATGTAGGTGAATCAGTGGGGAACGGAAAACTTTCACATGCTGATTCCCAGCAGTGTCACGAATGAGAATACTAGAATGAAACATCTTCTTATTTTTCACTAGTTATATTTTTCTATCAAATATTTAGTGATATGTTATTGCCAGTTCTGTGCAACATTTGTGATTAGACTGAAGCCTCAAATATACCTATAGCTATTGAACATAAGATTTAACAAATCCAATTTAATATTAAGAGGCTTATCTCTTTCACGAAAAGATATTCTCTAATCACAGTTTTCTGATAAGTGAGGTATACTTGAAAAAATCATAAACAATTAAACTTTCTAATAGTGATAAATCTTCTAATTGGACGCTAGATTGTGTTTCCAAAGCTCTTCTAGTAATACACAGGCTAAACCTACACAGCATTCTGAATATGAGAGAGAAGGTACGAAACATGGAAGAAATGCTTTATTTCGAGGTTCGTTTATGTACAGAAAATCCAGGGTATTTATAGCATTTTAGATGAATTTGGGCTTCCGGTAAGTTTTGGAACGCTACTAAACATAGTAGCAGTATAGGTAATCATGCAATCAGAAACGCGACATATGACGTTTCACTTTCTAGATGTTTCTAGTAAGACTTCTATCGAATGTTGGTTGGGGGGGGGGTTCCTCAGAGCTTTCAAAGCCATTTCGGCTTTTTTCGAGGAATTTTCTGGACCTCCCAAACAAACGGCTTATCAAACAAATCTGTAATATGAATTCACTAAAAGCAATAGCCTAAAAACTTTTAGAAATAAGCAGATGTTCTTGAGAAAAGTAATAAAACAAACTTCTCAAATACAATTTTCTAAAGGAATACAAAACTAAACAATATGATTCATTTTAAGTATTTAAATTCATTATTTTAATTATATGAGAATAGTGTAAAGTATTGTTTAATAAGCAGTGACCAATGAAGTACAACCAGGTGGTTTGTGAAATAGTAACTCACTAAAGACAATGGTGGACGGTGGTGTGACTTCGTGGATGGGTTGAAGTTAAATATTAACACCGTTAGATACCGGCTCAATGGTCTAGAGCATGTGCGTTCACGCGCAATACTTGTAGGTCCTGGATTCGAATCCCGCGGGCCGGATATATATATCGATACACAAGAATTAATAATGAAAAGATTATAATCCAACGTAATTATCTAAATCATCTAACTTACTTGGACGTTCATCTGAATTCATGAAGTTTAAATTGATCACTGTTGGACTACATAATGAATTGTGCGCATCATCTGTATTCGGTAAACTAGTAGTAGTGACATTTATAGTTTTAGGTCGTAAATCTTCAGAACTTCTTGTATATACAGATTTAAAATGTATATCATCATTATTTGAAAATGAAGTAGGTCTGGAACGTTGAAAGTCTCCACTACGTATTGAACCAGTTCTAGAACGTTCATCTTCGTTTATTATAGAGTGTCCTTCAGGTAAATATGGTGTATGATCCCAGTAACATTTGCATCTTTCTAAATACAGAAAATAATTACATATAAAAATTCAAAATTTAAAAAAGTATAGAAATGAGTAGTCATATTTTATCGTTATGTAGCTTGAGAAGAATGCATAAACTGGCTTGTCTGGAAGCTAGAAAAAACTAGGTTGGCTCAACATTGGACTAGCCACTACAGTTATTATTTTATTTACAATAAACCATTTTTACTTTCGCTCATGTATTACTGAGCAGTGGTTTGTCATATAATATATTCTGATACGTAGAATACCCAGAGTATGCATGGAAATCTGTTTGTGGTGTATGCTACTTATGTCGACAAACATAAGTATTATGTACCATAAATCAGAAGTGGAATGCATGGCAACAGAAGGCTAGGAAGATCGAATTGAAGGAAGCAAAGAGGTAAATAGAAAGGAATCGAGAATTGGAAAAATCATACAGAATGTAATGGACAGTTGATGGGAGATTTGTAACTGACTGGCATTCATTTAATATAGAAGACCAGGAAGAACATTGATGCAATGATACTTGAGTTCATACAGAAAGACTAGAATGATTTTAAACTTTAAATATGACAATCATTAACTTTCAACTATTAACGCAATATTGATGATAAAATTTCTTAGGATTTTAGTAGTCTAGTGTCTTTGAGGTTCATTTAGGAATCATTTTCACCGTTCTGATAATCATTCATGTAAAAGTGACCTTTAAAGTTATTCTGTAAGTAATAAGTTAATTCGTTCTAATTAGCTGTCTAGTGACCTTTGTTGTTTTCATATATTCTTATACTCTTCTTCAGTATCTTTCTGTTAACCACTGATTGTGTGACTAAATAACTTCCGCTTTTTGAGTTTGATCTATATCACTATATTTGATTATCAATCGATCTGAATGTTGTCTTCCTTGTAACTTATAGGTATTCTACGAGTTTCTCCGATTCTAAATTTTAACGTATCTTCATTACAATTCATGTCTGCTTTTGTCCACATTTATTCAAATCATATAATCCCACTATATATCTATTTCCACTTATGCGTGAGTGAAAGAAGATACATAGGATTACAAAAACTTAAACTTTCACAGCAATATAGGGGATTTTCAAATTGTAAATATTCACAAAAGATCAACAATAATTAAGGCTTTTCGTCATAGTAACCTGAATTACATTTTGTAAGAAATCTTATTCAGGAATATAGTTAATTTTTTTAACTTTAATTCATCATTAACTATGTAGGGATACTAATCCTAACTCAGGGTTTGAAAAGTCGGAAAAATGAAAATTTCGCAAATGTGATAAAAATGATCTTGGTGGACTTGTAATAGTATTCCGACACCTGACAATGAGTTTTAAGCGTTCTTTAGGCCCTAACGCTTCAGGCTAGGCTATTTCATTTACTATCCTACATATGTGTTGTATGCAGTATAAGCTATATGGCTATGTTGAGCTGAAGGTCTTATATGAGACTGGAGGTTTGCCATTGATATTGTGGATGGTTCGGCATTACTTTGGCAAGTTTTTCTGACTGTTCATGCATGAAATTGGTTTGCTGGTTAACCGATTTCATTGACACTGGTGGTTGCTTTTTAGTGTTCTCAAGGGCGATTGCCATTTTGACACTGTAACACATGTCTTTATAGCTAACATTAATGAATTTGACTATGGTGTAAGCGAAATAGGTCAACTTTGGCCTGTTCGTGCTGTGCATAATTGATTCATGCGATCATTGATCGGAATAACTATACATGTGACGTGAATGTGTATATGAGCGGTGCGAACGGTCCACCAGGATGCTTGTTACCTGTGTGGTTGCGCCACAGGATTGAGCTGTACTATTCAGATTGTAGCGTTAAAGCCTATACGGTGTCTGGTTCTCCTGTGAAGCGAGATTGAGCTGTACTGTTTGGATTGTCACAATAAAGTCTGGATGGTGTCAGATTCTCCTGAAAACCAATGTAAAATTACCCTGGCCCACAAGGGTATATTATATAACGATAATAACTATCGTTAACTATATGCAAGAAAACTAACCTGATAATCCTAGACTTTCTCTAAAAGATCGTCTATGACTTGATCTAGTTGAATTACGATCCAATGAATACATACTTTCTGTGTCATTACAAAAACAAATAAAAACATTGAAATGAAACAGGATCATTATTGATTTCAATGAAATAATAATGAAATTGTTTAGAGAGAAAACTACTACGTATCATTCACAAAAACTACTAATGTAAATGTCTGAATACATACTGTCTATCAAAACAAAAAAAAAGAAATTAAAGAACAGTATAGCTGTCAATATAGTCAAAGTATATTCTGTCCTTGATGATGAACCATCATTCATAATAAGCACTAATTAGTATTCTTAACTATATCACTTAGAATTCTACAATAATGTACAACTGATTGACATCAGTAAATGGATAGAAATAAATGTAAATGTCGTAAATTCTCATCATATTCTGATTGTAAAACTATAGATATGATTGACAAGATTATGTAACAATGAAAAATACTAACTAATGAATGATTCTTAATAGAAAGAAAAATACCTACAGTGTATTAAGAATCATAATAAATAAAGAGAATAAACTGATTTAGAAAGAAGGTACAATCTTGTTGATGAATCGGTTGTTTATCTAATTTGAAATTATCTGTCGAAGGGATATTTTTATAGTTGAACTCATGAGGTAGACCATCATGGAAAACCAGGAAGCATTGGATAGCCGTTTTGTCTTAGTATAGGACTCTTCGGCAGTGCACAATCACATTTGCACTCGCGGGATTTGAACCCAGGACCTATCGGTCTCGTTCTCGAACATTTAAGCTGCAGATCACTGACCTGGCATTCAATGATGTAATGTCTAATTTTTATGTTTATTTATGATCAGAACTATTTTTCTAATGAAATGTGACGATAGTACAAACTAATTATTTTAATCATATAGAAAAACCACAATATGAATATAGCCTTAACAAGAGCTCATAATATTCAATAAACTAATGATAAATGTCTTTAAAGAAAATGAAATTAAAGGGGAACCATCTTGATTCCACATTTTGTATTGTTTGTTTAAATTATACCATTGATATTCACGACTGTAATTGATCAGTCTATTACTAGCATATGTGTATCCTGTGCTAATTGCCTCGATATTGACTTCAATCACAAGCATTATAAGCAAAGATAGATGGTGGCCAGTATTGGAATCCAAGAAGCGCGTTTCCTCCTATTTGGGACTTATCAGCTGGATGTACCTGCATTCTAGAGTTGATATTTATTCCATGACTCTAACCCAGTACCTCTTACTTCGAACGCCACTTAGCTAATAGGTCCTGAGAAGATACAAACAAACAATACCAAGTGAATTTATACTTCACCTCACTATACAAACTAGTGAATATCTGGACTCAGTAGCTAAGTGGATAACGTCATACTGTTTGAAGCGACCAGTTCTAAGTTTGAGAAGTGGAGTGAACATCAACTCTAGAATACAAGTACATCCAATTGACAAGTTCAAAATAGGACAAAATGCGCTTCTTACATTCTACTTCTATCCACCATCTATCCTTGTTTACCTTGATTCTTGTTTTTAAACAAACTGATAAAGTTAAATCAAGAAAATTAATAAAACTATTTGATATACATATAAACATGTTTAGTATAATAACACAAAATTATAATGTATACAATATGATAATTCAAACTACAATGTTAGTATTTGTCACTTTTCATACAAATCTACGATAGAACAAGATTCATTTAGATGATAATTATCAATTTTATTTTATTACATAATCAATGACAGAATGTTTAGTTTTACACTTATATGATTGAATAGTTCAATTATTTCATTATTCTTGATATGAAACTGATTTAAAGTCATTCCCCTTATCCAATTATTCACAATAACTAACATTTATTGAATTCCATTTTTATATAAATCAATTAAAGTGTATTATTAATTTTTTTGAAGTACGGAGCTGAAACTTGGAGAACTACAACAACCACTATCAAGAAGGTACAAGTATTTATAAATAGTTGTCTACGCAAGATACTCAACATTCATTGGCCGGATACCATCAGCAACAGCCCAATGTGGGAGAGAACAAACCAGCTTCCAGCTGAACAAGAAATTAGGAAAAGACGATGGAAATGGATAGGACATACACTACGCAAATCATCAAACTGAATCACGAGGCCAGCCCTAACTTGGAATCTTGGAGGGAAACGGGAAAGAGGAAGGTCAAAGAACACATTACGTCGGGAAATAAAAGCAGATATGAAAAGGATGAATAACAACTGGAAGGAACTGGAAAGGATTGCCCAGGACAAGGTTGGATGGAGAATGCTGGTGAGTGGTCTATGCTCCTTCACGAGGAGTAACAGGCGTAAGTAAGTAAATTTTTGAGAAGAGGGTTTTGTGGAGATTTTAATAATTTCAGTTGTTGAGATCATGGGTCAATTGAATTTCTTTTTTTTTTTAAAAAGATGAAGTAACCAAGGGATAGTAAGAGTTGCCTTGACAAATAATGAACCATATAATTCATTGTTTACTAATAATCAAAGAAAAAAGAAGATCACTGTAAAGAAAATATAACTGAAGTAGTTGAATAATGAAACATTCAAAAGTAAGTAGATAAAATTATCAATATAATATCCTGCAATATTATAAATTGATTGAAGTTACAAGTGTATACTACTGTATACTAACTTAGTCATTTATAGATAGTATTCATTCCAGAGATCGAAGGTCCTAGGTGGAATATTTTATGGTGGAGCTATGTGTGTATACTTCTGAGGAGTTTTAAACTCGGTAGAGATAACTATTCAGTCCTTCCTTCTATTTAATGAATGTTTTATTTAGGGTCAATTCGAAATTTCAATAACATTCAATAAACTTTATAAGCCCCATATTAGTTAAAAGGAAGGAAGTAAAGAATTAAGCGTAATTTAGTATTTCATAGTTTGTTTGACAGAATGTTTATAGCGTGAATCGAATAAACCAATAGAGATGAATTTATGGGACTTCAGTCTTAAATGTAATCAAATATTGTATTGCTTAATCTTATACTGACATGTAATTCCTCTAATGAGATTGTTATCCTTTGAGTTTACACTAATGTCATAAAATATCACTCGGATGAAACAACTAGTACTTTAAATGTATGAAGCTCAGAAAAAAGAAGAAATGGAGTGGGGTCATTACGGAGGTTCAGATGCTGTTTTGGCTCATCGATTCCCCGTCAATGTGAATCGTGATTACTGGGTAAAGTATAATCATCCAATAATAGCATCGGATGCCAATGTAGTTTTTGGAACACACAGTCACTATTATATAATCAAGTTTAGATTATATTTTACTCATTTTTCTAATGAAATAAATTACTTGAATATTATAAAGACTATTATTTTGTAGTTGACATCATGAGTCAATTAAAATTAGATCATCATGAAAAGCCTAAAAGCATTGGACGGCTGTTTCGTCCTAGTACAGGACTCCTCATTATTTGTCTTAAGTTTCAGTTGTGATCTTTTTTTTAAATCTAAGATAAGAGAATGAACTTAATAAGGTATATTTCGTATTCTATTTAAAGTATAAACTGAGAATCTTTGTCATTATTCTATCCCCATGTTGTTATAACTTTCGAATGAACACTAATCCTTTTGGATAGTTGTTGTTAAAAGAAAAATCACTGACTTAAATTGAATGCAAACAGTTATTGTACATGCTGTATAACAAAATAAATGTTATTATATGTGCTATGAGTCAACACTGAACTAACCAGATAGAAATTATGAATATAGACAAGTAAATGTTTTAATGAATTGAAAATAAAATGGTGAGACTATAATTTATGGACGAACCAATCAGATTTAAGATGATCGATCTTCAAATTTTGGCGGGAAACCAATTCACCCACTTGGTTAATTAGAATTTCGGCATTATAGCCGATGTCAATTCGTGATTAAAAACCATAAATCTAATCTAAATCATAATTCTAATTCTTCACACTGGTTTTTAGTCCTCATTTGATGCTAGCTATTAGGCGGACACTCTCAAAGTCAGCTTAATGTCATTCAAAGGTCATCTATAAATTATAGTGTCAACGATAAAATTGTTACATTATTATTTCAATGTAAAGTCGTTTATTATATCATTTTTAGTATAACCTTGTAATTTATGAGAAAGAAAAATTGTAAATAAACATCTATCCATTTGTAACATTTGCCAAATTCATGGATACTGTAGTAACTGTGCTTCGTTGACCAATCACCCTCGTAACCGTTACCATATAATCCTCAACGGTGTTTGAAATCAGAAGGCAAAGAGAAGTAGTGACTACAGTTTTATTAGCAGATAACTCAGATCACAAAGCAGTGAGGCGAATGAGTGAGTTAGCGAACCGAGATTGTAGAGTGTATATGTACATGTATATATATAGGGAAATGAATGGATCATCGAATCAATTAAGCAGTTAATGAGTTGCTATAATACACTACTAAATAGATCTTTTACAAAAAAAATAAAAGAAACCATTCCAAAAAAGGTTATTCTCATCAAAAAAACTAACTATCCGACAGTATGATGTAGTAAACTACTTTGTTTCAATATGAGATAGAAAAAAATGTTTTTATACATAGAATGCATACATTTATAGATTGTATTATCTATGGAATATACTCAATTAGTGAGTAGTTAAATTCCATTAAGTACTTTGCTTCAATTTCCAAATCCATATTTATATATTTTAACAATTCTACCTTCATGATCATAACTGAAATCTTCTCAACACTTTCAAGACAAGTATATTATTACTTTCACACTAATAACACTATACAACTTCTAATCACTTTGACGTTTTATAACATTCATTGATAAACTGTTTATGATGAACAACATTAACAACAAAATTAGTTCTTCATAAAACAAACATTAAAAATAAATCCAGGCAATTTATTCTTTAATTTAAATAATCTGATACACCTTAATAGATGAATCAGATAATTATTCAATTCATTATGGTGATAATAATAATTTTTTTTAAAATTTGGCATTGATTAAGATTTTTATGTATGTATATATTATACGTGACAACTATTT